GGAGCAAGAGCCAGTTTCTTTACTTTTCGCTCCTATTTCAATCTGTTAGACTTACATATCTCCTAGTTTCTTCTCATATAGCTTTTTTGGAAGACTTCTGCTTCACAGCTTTGGCACAGGGGAGGTTTCAGTGGAATGTGCAAGCACAGAATTATCACTTATATTTCAAAAGGAGAGAAAGAGGTAGAAAGAGGAGATAAAGACAACCATGGTATACAGAATGAAGACATTAGGAAAGAAAATCACAATTAAAAAAATTCTTCCCTCCAGCCAGGCAGGTTGAGGATTAAACATTGTTACATTACCCAATAAAACATCAGCTGCAAGTAAGTGGTCCATCACACTATCTAAAACATAAGTCTGAAACTCCTTCTGCTGTGTTCGTGTTGATCTTTCAGGGGAAGCCTGATTAAAAGAAAAAAAGGGCATAGTACATTGAATAAGCAGAAAGAGAAGCTCAGCTAGTCCCCTCTCCTTCTCTTGTATCTCCTGGAGTATCTCTATTTTTTCCTTAGTAAGCGGTCTTAAGCAAATAGTCTTCGCTCCGTGTACAAGCTTAAGAAAGTGCTTGGAGTATATATTGCCTTGTATACTGTCCTACAGGGTAGGTGCTACTCCAATTTAAATCAAGCAAATTTATTTCCTGCCAATGTATTTCCTCTGTAAAAGGAACTGGAAAACAACACCAAACAAAAAAACACCCCACATTCCTAACAGGTGCACAGATTTGTGACGAACAAGTAAACTCTTACCTCCTCAGCTCACATAATCACACCCTTCAGTAAGTAGAAAGTAAATGAGATAGCTTGAATGAATGTATTAATTCATCAGCACTTATCTGTCATTTTGTGTTATTACTACCCCAGCTCTGGGTAGCCCTATTCAAAACCTGCCTGGAGTGTGCAACTACTCTAGGTGACCGTGCTTGTGCCGGACAGTTGGGACCGGATGATCTCCAGAGGTTCCTTCCAACCTCAATCATCTTGTGATCCAGTGATCCTGTACAAAACAAGTACAGCTGCCACTGCCTAATGAACAAGTAACAGAAGAACTGTTCTTTGAAAGAGTAACATTTTGGGAAAGCTGCAATTTCTACTACTACACTGTTGAACACCTACTGTTGCAACTCCAAAAAAGCTGGATTGCACAAAGTTAGTTAAGAGATTTTGGTATTCATTTTTGATCTCATACTTAATGACAATTTCAATGATTCCATTGGATCCCGGACAATCAATCCTCTAAAATCAAGAATTAGCTAGAGAAAAATGTTTAATAAGAAAAGTGCCACAGTAAGCTGAAATTAAAAGATGTAAACTGTACCTCTAACAGAAGATCTACTAGTGGAGTCTGCTTGCTGGCTGGTGTCAGGCATAAATTATCAATTATCAGCACACGCATGAAGTCGAACACAAACTTCTTGGCAGGGTGGTTGGTTAGGTATGTCTTGGTGCCCACGTTGCAGTATTCTGACTGGCTCCTGTTCATGCCAGAGTCAGCTGCAAAGGCTTTGAACTCTTCTGCTGGTGACCCGACTTCATCATCAAGATCAGTGACCTGTGAAAGGCAACATATTAAAACTCCAGAGAATGGCAAATTAACAAAAATCCTTTGCTACTCTGTTCTTTAATTTAATTCTTTTTAAGCCCAGTCACTTAATATAGTGCGTCCAAAAGAGACTTTTTGCAATATTATTAAGGTCAGGCTTCAGCTCCCTAACACAGAACAGAAGAAACACTCTAATTCTGTTTTTTGCTTTCCAAGCAAAAAAAGCCATCAGTAAATTTGACATGGATGACTCAAGTTACTTCAACATTTCATATGGAAGTCACTTAACAACAAGACCTTCTTAGGAAACTTTTGGATATTTTGCAAGAATTAGTATTTTCATCCTTTAAAAACACTATCTTTACAGGGTTCTTATTTCTGGAGAGTAAGAACCTTTGAGCAGTAGCTCTCAAGCACTGTAAGAAAACTGCAAACAGCTATGAAAGCTGTCAAAAAAAATAAACTAAGTGTTCTTATATAATCTCTTCCTTATATAACAGCACTTCTCTGGACAAGCTTATCATATTGCTAACTTACAAATAAAGTAACCACAGGTTATGAGAATTTGATCTCTCCCAGTAGGAGAGTATTTCCAAGAAATGAAAAGCAGCAGCAATGTGTAGGCCTTCTCTTTTTAATGGCACTCTCAGATAGGTCAAAAACTCAGTGAAGAGTTTTCTCTCAAGGTTGAATTTGGCCTATAGTGCTTTGTTGCAGGAACATGGCTGTTCTTTATTTCAAATGGGATTGATTAGTGGAAAACACTGAAAGGCTGGAGAAACAGATATGGGAACAATCAGATATGAAGTCAAGAGACCTCTCAAAACCTGAGCAGCTCAAGTTGCCAGACAGCTACACAAGGTGTCAAGGTATTTTCTCCATAGAGCTCAATGTTGCTCAGAGACCCAAGTATTTTCTAAAGTCTCTAGGTGAAAGCCACATGAGCGTTATAAGTTTACAAGTGGCATAGTTCACCAGGACCACAGTTCTTTCAGGAGAGTTCATTTGCATCTTCTTCAAAAAGAAGTCTAATGCTGAAGCCAAGAATTAATCTTTATTAACGACTCATCAACAATAGCTGTTTGCTTTCCTGCCTACAGTGTCTACATTCCCCACTAAAATGGAGTTTCATTGTATGGCAACTGGCCTTTGTGCCATTCCTCCCTCAATTTCAGAACCCAAGGGAACCCCCAGAACTCCAGCCAGGCCTTCATAATCACCAATGTCTGTAGGGTAAGTCAGGCTATTTCTTGGTACATTCGCCAATTAATAAACCCTCAAAAAAAACAGCACTAAAAGCAAAACCCCAAATCAAGCTGGTTCACTGCCTACCATCTCAGAGTAAGGTCGGATGTTGAAAGGAAACACAGTTGCTGCCAGGGCACACAGGAACTCTGGGCTCATCCACAAGGAAACGAGGTCCGGCACGTTGTGATACAAATACCGGAAGAACTGCATCAAGGTGACCGGGTATTCGCGAAGCCAAGAGCCTTCCTCCTCCGACTGCCAAGGCTGCATTGAAAAACAGTTACAAGCAGGATGTTAATACAGATGGCCCTAATTGAGCAGTGCTCGGTTCAGAAAGGAGCAGCCACGGAGCTGCAGGATCAAACGTGATTGAACACATTGGTACAACATTGTGCTCAACTGCCTTACTGAACACTGGGGACGTGAACCCCAATGTCTGACCACACACGTGAGAAAACTGCAGGAAAAAAGGTGCCCTAAACACGTGACAACACATTTGAGAGCATGTCTGAGCACATCAAACATAAGAGAACATGTGACGCCCTCACACATGATATCATACTTGGCTGAGTGTGTCATGGAGCACATGCATGAGCACGTCACCAGCACGCAGTCCTGTGACAAATGTGACCAAACACATGGCCACACATATCTCTGGAACATGTAACGACTGAACACAATACTAACTTGTAACAAACACTTAAAACATCTCCAAACCACACACTTGAACACCTGACAACAGGTCCCTGTCTTTACTGCTGCAGTAACACACAACTGAACGTGACAAATGTGACAACGGGTCCTGAAGACAGCACATGGGTTGGAACAACTCGCAAACCCATGATAAGGCACATAACAAAAAGAGCACACGATGACATAAAACAAAATAAGATGTGCCTGAGCACACAACCAAGCACAAACATGGGACCTGACACATGAACACCCAAAAAGGGGTTGGTAAAAGTGACTTGACATGTGACAACAAATTCAAATACATCTGATGGCATCCCACAAGATGGCATGGCAAGAAACATGTATGTCCAGGCATGACATGAACGGCACAAATACATGAGCAAAACGCATACCTGGAAGACGTGCCTGAACACAACACTCACACACGAGACACACTCAACTGAAAGCACGATGACCAAACACATGATAGCCAAATGTGTGCTGCCTTTCAAACACTTCATGAGCTCACTTTCTGTAGATAAATACTCTACCTCCAAGGTAATACAGAATTCTCTCCCTGAAAGTCAAACTTCACCTACTCTTGATGAGTTCAGATTCAAAGAACAGAGGAACACACATTTTTCTGTTAGTCAGTGGGTTTCCTCCAGCATAAGGCTATTAATAGTCAGTGGACTTCTCTGCATGTGGAAGTTTTTCAAGTACAAAATCTGTAGCTCACAGTTCTGAGCAGATGGGATATGTAGTCTAAATCATTCCCCCATGATGTTAATCAGGAAAGAAATTCAGGAATCTTTGCCAAGTGCACTTAATCACTCTGCTTTTGTGTTTTCTTTTAATTGCAACAAAATTCAAAGCTTAGCCTTTTTGTGAGAAGGCAGCAAGTTTTGTGGCCACTAGTATTTCTACTAGTAAAATAAATCAAAGACAACAATGGTTATTACACAGGTATTACAAGCCTAACTCTCAGCTGGGTTTGTTCTATCAAACTAACAAATCCCTAGATTTTCCAACTCGGCTTTTGAAAACAGGGCAAACACAAGCAATTCTGTATATTTAAACGCCCCAAAATATTATACTTACAGAATTCAGCATGCTCCTCAGCATTCCCAATAACAAGAAGGCAGCTTCTGTGCAAACATTGTGTACTGAAGAGGTAACCGTGCCACAGGAGGCAGGAACTCCAAATATGTATGTCCAGATAGAGTCTAAATCAAACTATCCCAGGTGAGAGAGAGAAAAGAAAAAAGACACAAAATCAACCTTTTCTCCAGTACGATGTTTTGTGTGCATGTGTTATAGTCATGATACACTCATTTGACAGCATATAAATATTATCAACTTTTTCCACCAACATCTCAGATGCTCTCTTAAAACAAAAACTGCCCTGTTTTGCCTGTATCCCCATGAACACACACATATCCACACACACAAATACGGATTAAATCAATGCCCCTACCACGCTGGCTCGAACCAGGCATGCAGTTTTCATTCAACCCCATATCATCCAGCAAGAAACGAGCTACAGCAATCCCATCCTAAACACCAGGCTGGCTTCTTCACATTCCCAATGCACCCTATCCCACCCTCCTCAGCCAGCAAAGCTAAACACAGAACACAACATTCTGACTTGAGAGCCAGGGAAGAGTGTGGTTAATCCACTATGCTCTTTGAAGACAGACAGAACAACATTGATACCTTACTAGATAATCCCTACCTGGCCACCCTGATTACATCGGCTGCTGATGACAGGCGCACTGACCTGCAGGTTTTCGGGCAGTTCAGTGACTGGCTGCTGCAGGAAAAGGGCCATGAGGAGGAAATAGAGGGCAGGCACATTAGTGTGCTTGGGGAGAAGGGACTGCAGAACGGGGAAGCCGGGGAAGTGGCAAGCGTCCCGGTTAATCTCCCTGACCGTTGATCTGCCACCAGCACTCCTGCCGACATTGAACCCTAAGAGGAACACAACAAGGCAACAAGTGTTACTAGTGAAATGCATGTAAACCTCACTCTTAGCATAGATTATGCACAGATTACCACACTCATATTGTGCAACCTACTACAGATACCTGAATTTTTAAGTAATTCGAAAAAAAAAAAAAAAAGATTGCTCCATACAAACTCTGCTCTTATCTTCTTGCAGTGATGAGCAACCCAGATGTTTAAAATTCCAAAGACGAGCATCTGAAAAATCACATGCCAGCACTAAGAGGGAAGCATCACTGTGATCTCAGCTACTAACTAACTGATTTATACAACCAAGCAGCAATTCCATTTGAGTTGGCCGGCTGTTGAATGGCTTCAAAGATGTTTCTCAGGGATCTTGTTTTAATTGTTCTGCTACTGAGTAATATGTTGGTATGAAGTATTAAACGCTCCTACTTTACCTTCATTTCTAAATTGCAAATGGAAAGAAAAAGCAGACGTTTTTCTATTAAGCACTGCCAGAAACCCGAACTCACCTTTCATGACCCTACTCCACCAAGTTATTTCATCTGCCCATTCAAAAAATACACTGGGTTGCAGAAGGACAAATTTTTGAGCGAGGACAGCGGCAGAAAGATAGTTCAATCTATCTACACAGACAACAAGAGATTTTTCTGACCCTGACAGAAGTCAGGTCAGTTATGTGTTTTCTGAGGCTCAGATATTGATATTATTTCTACCAGAAACTGGCTGTTCAGACAGCAAAGATTTGTTAGGGATCAGACTCATGATATCCTTGTCACAGAGTTGCATGAAACCCACCAGTAACCTTGGACAAAAAAAGGCTCCCATCTAATTTCACTAGGAAACTTGGTGCCAGTTTCTTAATTTATATAAATATAAATATATATATATATAAAGAACATGAACATTAGGTAAGATAATTGGATAGGTCATTATCATTTGATGAAAAACAATTTTTAAAATATCTCTGTGGTCTTCATTTAATTTGGCATCAACTAAAGTGCTACTAAAATATGCAAAAAACCCCAACTCTCCAAATTCTCTCTTTGTAAACCCTAATTTAATCTAGAAAGGTTCTGTGACTGAAGGAAACTGCTGGGGCTGGTGTATGGTGGTAATGAAAAGGGAGAGGTCCTTACTTCTATTTAGCTAGTTTAATAGGTCCTTAAAGATTTGCCAGCCTCAGATAAAACTAATTTTAATATCCTGCTTCTTCTGTCACAAAAGGCTGTGTCGGTTGCTGAAGAGCTCAGAGGTGCAACTCTCTGGCGCATGGGCACCGCCTTCCAGGAGGGCATTGCCAGCCATGTCCCTCAGCAGCCTCTGCCTCCTCCGGCATCTCCCCATGTCTCTCCTGCCATATCTCCTCACCAGATGCTTCTACCAGGCTGATGTTTTTGCCAACACAATATCCTTACTTAGGCAGCCCTGTGTTCTCCTGTCCATGCACCTCAGGAGCCCTTTTCTCTGCTGTCATTCACACATCCAAGCACAGCCTACCTCCAGATTTTTGCTTGTAGCGTCAGCACACACTACAGGTTAGCACTTTGAGAACAGGAAGAGCAAGATTAAATCATCCTCTATTCTACACTACCCCAGTCTACACAGAATTGATATACCCCATTTCAGCCAGCTTAGAGAAGTTCAAAGTGGGTCCTGTAGCACTAAATCGCAGTTCTGCATTATGCAGGGTAAGATAAAGGGCTAATAACCTGGAAAAATCAGGCTTTAAGAATTCAAAAAAGATCTTTGCAAAAGCAAGAGAAAACAAGAGAGCAAGGGATCAAGCAAGGGAGAGAAAAGAAAGACAGATGAAACCACAGACAAATTCCTGGGGTAGGAATTTGTCCAATCTGGTAAATCCAAACTGGTAAAACTAACTGGCCCAGATCTGACTAGATATGAAGCACCTCAGGTCCAGTTTTGCGTGACACTGTAACTAATAGCAGCAAATAATCTAATGAATTTTCCTGAATATCTTCTTGTAGCACCACCTCACACACGCAGCTGCACTGCATGTTCATCTAGCTCAGGAGCGCTTGCCCATAGGCAACCTTGCCACACAGAGCACAGACAACTGATTATACTTTTGCTACACAGGCTTCATGCAGATGAAGAGGTAAGACTGAAAGATAACAAAATCTGTAAAATGCCAGCTGAAGGGCAAGTTTGTAAAACCATTCCCTTTTGCTTACAGAAACTAATTCTTTATTCTAAGAAAACCAAAAATGCAGAGGCATTTTGATCTGATTTTGATGCTAATCAGAGCAGAGACAACACTAGCACAGGAAAGAGGCATGAACCACACTTTTTTTTTTAAAAAAAAAATTCTCACAATCCCAAATACACACTGCAGTCATGAGCACTGAGATGTCATACCTAGCACAGTGCCAATCTTATTGGTCAAGACAGAGTCTGTCTGCTCAAGCCAGCCTCCACCACTGAGCCCTTCCTTAAATTTCATCAGGATGGGCTGGTTGCTCAACAGGACCACAAGAATCCTCATGGCAGCTGTGACGGTGGTGGAATGGAGATGTTCTTCCATAAACATCATGATCCAATCAAAACCCAGTGTCTTCACTAGTTCTTCACATGCCCTAATTAAAAAAGAAGAGAGTCGCATATTATTTCAGCATTTTTTTTCTCTTACCTGATAGCAAATGTTCGTGTCTGCCACTACAGAACGAACTTAGAGAGGGTCATGAAAAATTCAGGTCAATCAAAAGGAAAATAGAATTCTTGGCTGAGACCTAAGTATCTTGGAGCATCTGGATACCTTTGAACAGGAAAGGCTGCTTAACAAGTCCTTCTAAATAGAACCCAAACTCTGATGTCGGTATTTGTTTAGTGGAAATGGATGAGCTATTGGGGCTGTTTGAATTGGCATGAGATTAGTCTCATTACTGCTGTTCATAAGAAAACTGGAATGCTGAACTAGAAGATTTTGTCAATAAACCGTATTTTCTGAATACTTTTGGTAGAGCCACACGCAGGTACGGAGGTTTCACAACACTGAAACTACTTGATTACCTTAACTGAAATGAAATGGGTCGACTATCCCACTTCTCTAAAAGCTAAAGTTTCCTTTTTTGATCAAGTACTTTCTCTGCAGTCATGTGTGAAATTATTATAAAAGATTACATAGAAGTATGGGAGAAGAGTAGAGCATTCCAATCTACCTCTCAAGATGAAAAAAATAAAAATCAAAGTAGCCAGCCCCTAAACTTCTCCTTGCATCCTTCTTACTCATGGGCCTCTTCTCTCAAAGTTTTGAGAGTTGACATCAAGATAGTAATCTTCCAAACATAAAATATATGTTCCCCTCTTATAAATCATATGCTGTTATTTGCTTGTGTTGTTTCTAACTGGAAATTTAAGTTTCTATTAATTCTGTCATAATGCTGTTAAACTTGGCTAGTTGTTTTTGAATGACTTGAAACAAAGTCATTTAACACAATAGATTAAAAATGGTACTTGCACCTGCATTTCCTTAGTATTGTTTTTTTCACTAATACAATTGGGAGAGTACAACTGAGCTATCATGTACCTGATTTCTACTGGCATACTCTAAGCTAATTCAGCAATACTTGTGTAAATAAATGCAAGAGTTCCTATAGCATTATACAATATAGGTAGCAAATAGAGTTGGGCCAGTGTAATTCATCCCCTTCAAATTAAAAATCATAACCTCTTCCTCTGTCTGAAGACTTTTTTTTTTCTTTTTACTTACTGCAAATTAACAGTTGTCTTTTCTTTAGATGTATACAGAAGTTTCAGAAGGATATCCAATAGCCTGTTCCGCAGTAGAATAAGATTAGCAGAAACAAGTCCTCCAAAATCATCCTCTGTTCCTAAATAAAGGATGGGGAGAGAAAAAAACAAAAACAAAAAACTTTTAGGATTTGGGTGTTTTAAAGGCTATTCATAAATTCCATACATCATAAAACACACTGCTCCCACTTGAGTCAGTAGAAAGCCATGGTAAACTGCTAAATTTCTGCTAAATGCAATGAAAGTCAGGAGCTCAGCGAGGTAAAATTCTGGAGTCCTTTGTCCCAAGCTTCCCTTCTTCATTCCCACCACAGTCTGAATTTCTCCCCATGTTCCTCTATGGCTCAGTTGGCAAAAATGCAGAGCAGGCTGTGGTTGGGCTGCAGAAATACACAGCCAGCTGAAGCTGCTGCCAAAAGAGAGGATGCAGTGACCGAGTTCTGCCTTGTCCTTAGTGGGAATACCAATTTGGATCTCTCTCCCATTCTTACTCACAGTCTTGCACTAAGTGAGCTGGAATTTAAATCATCTTTGAGACTGCAATTAGCTAAAGTGTTTCAGAAGCACCAGGAGAGGCACTGGGGATAGTGTTGAATGGAGGGCTTAATCCTTGCTCTTTACAAGACTGGACTGAAAGCACTAACCGAAGCTCATTCACAGATTTTTCCTTTTTATTCCTGTCTCAGGGAGCCAGTATATTCACAAGACCTGTAGAAACATAGTGTCTTTTGGCACCCAATCCTAGTTATTTGGTTGAAATCTACCAGTAGGCTAAAAATTTATTACTGGGGGAGACTGATGAATAGAGGAAACAATTGTTTTTCCCCCTCCCTTTTTTTATTTTTTTTTTTTTTTTTTTTTTTTTTTTTTTTTTTTTTTAACCTCCCCATAAAGCAGAGATGCACAGCTGATTTGAAGGAGTGGAAGAAATGGAATAAAACATGCAGTGTTAAATGAAGGAAAACAAAACAAGAGAAGGTTAGTTTTGCACTGCTTAGCACACAATATTGAAAATTGAAGTACCGTAACTCGCAGCCAGGTTATAACAAAATTACAATATTGTTACCAACAGTGCTTCTGCACTTTAAGCATTTGAGCACAGAAGGTATAACAGATTATTTCCCCCTCCTGATCTCAAGTCATGCCATCACTTACCACTGTCAAGTTTTTCTTCATTTTTTATTTCCATGACTACAAACTTCTCACAGACTGCAAACGTAGGTAAAGTGGAAGAGATGAACTGTCCAAACCTTGACGGATACAGAGAAAACATCAGATATTAATGTGACAGATGCACTCTCATCTATCAATAAATCACTTCTAATACATGACTAAGAAGAGGCAGGTACCCTAAAATGTCAACTTTCTAACCTCTGAAGGTCGAGGGAAATGGCCTTCAATAAAGTTACAAGACAAAATCCAAATTAATAACATACAAACTGGACTATTAACAGAGAACCCCGCAAGTAAGGGATCCTTAACATGCTAGGATTCAACAAGGGAACTGGGAAATACCTTCAAACATCAAGTTTAGGCATCTCCAACGTCAAGTAAAAAAAAGTATTCCCCAAACCATCACACCTGAACAAATATTATCAATAAAAACCCATTCACAGGATTACTCAAATGTGACATAAAGGTTATGCCTATAGCCTGAGATGCTACAGCAACAAAGCCATGGTTTTCCAAAACAGAAAAAGGATGTGCTGCTCAAAGAAAGGAGGCTCCACTCCTCTGGAACTAACCTGAAAGGTCCTCAGCTTGTCTATCTTTACCAAAGTTATGCAGTATTTTTCATTTTTGTTTCCAAAAGGAACAAGAATACAAGAATACAAAGGTACCTTGGTGCACTTGGATACAGCTTTTTTTTTTTTCTCATAGTAAATTAACATAAAAGTCTATAGTATTTTTTCTTGAATAATTTTTGTTCAGCATAATGAAAATGAAGGCTGGTTAGAAGTTTCGTTTGCTGCTTCTGACACCTTTAATTGTACTTAAATTGTACATGAAAGTTACATTATTAATTGCAACTTGCATCAGTCATAATAAACAGTACTATATTTGACAGTCTTAAATATTTTTCTACACAGGATTACTTAGATCTTGAACTAAAGCTTTTGGATAAAAGTGTAATCAAAGGTGCATTTTAACAGCATGTATCATCACCCCCCCAATATTAAGCGGAATGTTCAATGGTATTTCAGCAGTGTTCAGTGTTTCACATTAGCAGTGAAGGGAGATTAACTGCCCCATTGCTATTTGCCAGGAAAAGCCAGTTTACTAATGATAGTATGACTAACCACTCACACCTGTTTAGATATAAAATGAATTTAATATGTCAATCCAGGCATTAATATTGAGTATGTCTAGCACAGTTATTTACTATAGGAAGAAATTCAGTAAATGGGTGCCTCGTTAACTACTCACAGCAAGATCACCCTAAGCACTTTTAATATCACCAACACACTAAAACCACAAAAGCCAGAACTAACATCAATGTGGGCTACCTGAGTAAGTCATAGCTGCTGGGGAAGCCTTGAAGCAGAAAGCTCAACACATTACTAATTGCAGCAATGGTGGGCTGGGACAGAGACATATCCCGAAGAGTCAAAAGCAGTCTTGGGATGAGCTGGAATTCCCTCATTAATTTAGCATTCTTTGCTGCTTCGCTGAAAGAAAGAATAAACAGAGGAGGCAATTTAAGCGTGGAACATTGTGCCCACCTGCAACAAACATCCTTTCCATGTTACCTACAAGTCTCATTACTAGATCGGCATCAACTAGTACCTGGACTCTGTGAGAAGTTCAATGAAGTGCTCAAATAGTGACAGGTGAAGCTCATAGGGTGCATGAAGCCAGACCTGAAATACAGAACAAGCAGTGGTATGTTTTATACACAAACCCACTTGCAGATTAAAAACTGATTCCTAAAGACTTGAAGAGACTGAAACTGTTCATTTCCATTATTATTCACCTGTCCACTGCACCCAAAGCTCATTTCAAGGTTCTCAACTGTTCTTCAGTTAATACTAAATACTCATGAAAAGACTCACAAAACATATAGTGGTACCAAGGAGATTCTCTGCAAGCATATGATGAGCATAACTTAGAGTAATTGAAAAAAAAAATCTGCATTATCTGGACCTCTTTTTTTTTTCTATTTAATATAAAGATAAGTGGTTAAATACCAGTGACTCCAAAGGAGTTACTTGGGATTTACAGGGTTGAAATGAGATGCTGAATCAAGCTTATTTGGCTGAAGCGAAGGTTTTCATTTAGCAAAATTAACTTAATACCCTCTGCCAAGATTGAACACAAGGTCTTCAATGATAATTGTTTTTATCTTTACCCAGCATTTCCTGCACAGGGTTTTAAATGAGTCAGATCCCCTACAATAAATCAGCTGTTTCAATCAATAGAGGCAATAAAACATATAAAAGCCAGAAAGTTCAAAGTTATAGCTGCAGATCTTAAAACTGAGTTGCTACTGAACAAAGCATAATGAATAGTTGAGCTCTGGGATTCAAAGCTGGTTTAAACAAAAGTTTCCTTGCTTTTACTTTTAATCTAAAGAAAAAAAAATCTTTTTCCCTGCTCAGCATAAGAACATCTATGTTATCTAATGTAGAAGAAATGCTTGAGTCACTGATTTCTGAAGAGACACTATTGGAAAAAAAAATAACAAAACAGAAAGAATGACTTTCTTAGGCCTTTATTTTTAATGACTCGCAAAGGTATTAGTTTCATTTATTTTTGGTATCTTAAGCTTATTCACTCTCCAGTTGTGAACTAAAGAATTTCAAATCAGATCTTTCATATGGTAATAGCTGTCTGACTGAATACCTAACTTTGATGAAATTTGTCAGCTGGATCCTTTATGGAAAAAGAGAAACAAAGTATTCATGACTTGGTGAAGATTTTGCTGCCTGTGAGAAACGTTTAAGGACCTTTAAGCTCCCTAAAAAATAAGTTAACAAGTTGCTGTGGTTTTGTTTGAAAAAAGGCCATATTAAGTGGCAACGGTCTTTACATATACAGAACCATTAAACATAGTATCCAGGCTTTTAAATACCTCGAATGGACATGGAAAACCAGAAAATGGGTAAATTCCCTATCTTCAAATGATTTCAACAAGATAGGCTTATGCAGGATGTTTTTCTACAAAACCCACATGAGAATTAGAATAGTTTTATTCAATCTGTGTTAGACACAAATAATACAAAAGGGACAAACAGTACACACACAGTTCTAGCCATTATATAACATTGCTTTTCAGATTGTAGGATATTAGCAAATGATTCTGAATTTGTCTACTTACTCAGTTTACAATGACAAAACTCAATTATTTCGTAGCTTGTACAAGCACAATTTTAACTGCCATACATTCATTTAACTGCCTAATGAAAAGTTTTCCTCCTACTGTCATTTTGAGCACATCTTTCATGCCTCAATATATTTATTGCGACAGATGGGTTAGAAGAAATGGTGGAACCAAAAACTACAAAATGTATCTTCTAAAGAAGTAGGTGCATCTTTGGTACCTGTTATTTCTACAGCGATAAAAGTCATTGTAACAGGAAAACCTACCAACAATCTTTGTGTCAAGCTACTTTAATGTGCCATAGATAAAAATATTACATTCTCAGGTAACAACACAAGCTGTTATGATTCAATATTTAAGGCATGTTGTAAGTGCAACTGAATCATCCCCCAGCCAGTAACATCAGCTTTTTCAGCTTTACATACTTCAAAATCACAGAGCAGGTCCTGGAAGGCAGTAGAATTTGGGATAATGGAAGTCTCGTGCCCGCTGTCGACAGTCCCCACCAAGGAAAAGGTCAGATGAAGGATGTGACTGTTCAGAAGGGAACGTTTCTTCTTTAACAGCATCGCCAGTAACTTGAACAAGTAAAGAGATAAGAAATTAGCAGCCTATGAAAATGGAAGCAAGGTTATCTAAGCAAAATAAAGCACGTATGAAATGTCTGCATCCCTTAAAGCATCGTATGATTTTTGATAAGACCCATCAAGTGCCTCTGAAACTTGATATTTTTGATGAAGACGGCATTAAGGTTCCTTAGAAGACAGTAGAAAAAGGCTGTGCACAGAGCTGGAAGCATTCGTGACCATAGATGCTACCCTTTGTCCTCATTTCTGCTCTAACTTCTTTTAACTTGGGTTGGCAGATAATGAATTGGCAGATTTACAATTGCTGTTTCTTGTCTTCTCCTAGAAACTCTTCAAGCCTCACCTCCACCATGTGCTCTGTAGCACTATTAAAGAAATGCAGATTTGGGGAATCTCTCCCAAATCAGGTACGCTGAAGTAGAAAATAAGATGTGCAATGATCCACTGGCTAAGCAGCCAGTAGTGCAAGTAAGACACTGTCTAGATGTGTTTGGCCAAAACATGTCAATGTCTGGAACAGGCTGCATGGGATAAAAGGATTTTGCAAAAATGTATTAGCAGACAGCATAAAATGGTTTGTAAATATGTTGCTTGAACCACAAGCTGAGTTTTTCATTTCAGCAAAGCTGTCTTCACGGGAATGTAAAATTCACTGGTCACAGAAGGATCTTCTCAGTTCTGTCAGCTGAACCTTTTGCATAACTCATTATGCTTTCTCCACATCTAAAGAAAACTTAAGCTTGAAAGTGAACAGCATCACTATTAGGACCAGGCTCCTAAAAATAATAGTTCTAGCAGTCGACTTGTTTGCTTTCCTTCATATGTCCTTGTCCTCCTCTATTGTTGGCAGACAAATGAGACAGGAACTCCTGGGCTTGCAGGGGTAACACTAATGGGGAAAGAATCCATCTGTGTGTTGCATCAGTGCTCTTTCTTGTTATTAACAAAGTGACAGGGCAGCTAATGAGCCCAACCAAACAGAAAAACTTTCCATTTTCTCTTCTAAAGGCCATGCTAAACATGGGGTTTATGCTATTTAGCCAAGAGTACATTAAACTTAGAACCGACATTTGGGTTGCCATGATACCAAAAAATAATTTTCATGGGAGTTACAGGGATAGACAGTGAAATTCAATCTAGCAGGTTGGGTTCAAGACATCTTTTACACACCTGATAACCTCTGATTCTTTCCATTTCTTTGCTGGCTAGTGGATTGCTCTTTACCACACAGACCAAGGCCTTCACAGCTGCATACAGTCCTTCTACATCTGATGCCATGGCTACAAGCCCCAGGATAGCTGCAGCTCCACCTATGTACTGCAGCGTAGTGGCAACAGGCTTGGGGACAAATGTTCTTACTCCTGGGCATAGGCAGTGAAAACAAAGTAATTAAAATTAACTCTTTTTCTTGTAAAAAATCATTAAGATTAAATCTAAAGTAACCCACATTCCAGCACTGCTTTATTTATTAAGAGAATATCACTAGATGAATTATGATAACCTCAGGAGAAGGAACTATTGCATTGTAAAATAGTTCACAAGTTAACTCCAAGTCAGGTAAGTATATTTTTATAATGGTCCTCATTTAACTAAAACAAGTTTCTGGTATTGATAAAAAGACAGAAAATGTATGTCAATAAATAGAAAATACTTTATGTACATGAAATACTTTACGTACATGATTATTTTGTGTGTGGTACACAGTTAAATTTATCTTTGAGCTCTCAGTTCTTATATAAAGCTAATTAGCAACGCTTACGCATATGGATTATCAAACACTTACCCAGGTATCCTATCAAAGCTGCACCAATAGTGCGAGCTGGTCCATTCAGATGCCCTGCTGAGTTATGTAGCAACTTCACAGGTGTGGCATTTTCATGAGAAGAAACTGCCAACTGAACAAAACAAGGAAAACAAGGAAAAAGGAGGTTTATAGGAAGAATATTTTTTATAAGCCTGAACAAAACCTGTATATTTTTCTCCTGTGACAAAGAATAAGAAAGAGAAGAAAAGTGACACTAGAATTACACTAGGAGTCATTATGATGTCCTTTAGAGAAGAGAGGAATCTTCAGTCTCCAAAGTTTAAAACTGATTAATCAAACTATCTTAAAAAAATTAATACTCAGGTTTCCAAAATGAAAAGAAGACTAAATGATCAACTTTGTTCACCTACAAAAGTATAAATGATATTGCTCATCAGTATGATCTTTACTTACTCCGTAAACAAATGTTATATATATTAAATGGCCAAAATACTTCTAAAAGGGGATGAAATATATTAACTCTTGCTAATTTTAAAAATGGGAATAAAATTTCCATCAAATAAGCAGAACGATCTCCTTCAAATAAACACTTAAAATCAGGAAAATAAGTTTGGGCAATACTTCTGATAAGGACTTTATTCTTAATACAACACTTCTTTGAGCAAAATCCCTTGAAACTAGTTAGAAGGAACAGAAGAAATACTTGAAAGTTAAACAACCAATTTCATACTAGCAGGTATTGCACACTAACAAACTTATTTTGAAACATACCTGTTTTGCAATGGCTTTACTATCCAGCTTGTTGTAAACTTTTCTTATTTTTGCCACGGTGAATGAAGAAACGGAGAGTGCATAGAGACCAAAAGAGACCTTCTCTTCTGGTACCAGAGATATTGGAGATGGGTTGATTCCTTCTGACTTAGAATCCTTGCCTTAAGGACATGAAAAAAACCTCATTTCAAAAAGAGTACTGTTTCTGTGCTCACTTTTAATATGTTATGTAAATTATACTGCAGAGTAGTGGTGGAAGAAAGCTTTTACAGACAGATGAGATGTTATGTTGCCTTCATGTATTTGCTCACCTTACCCATGCACAACTTGATGGCACACAGCTTACACAACAAATATGTTGTCTTTGTATTTTTAACTAGCATATGGCAAACGTTCTTTTAAAAGGTCTACTATGTTCACCTCTAGTGGAAACTGGGAGCCTCTGACTCGGCCATGCTGTGATTCTTCCTCATCTGAATTTTTGCAAGAAAAAAAAAAACAATTTTTTGTCTACCCTACAGGTTGTTCCCTTCCCTTTTAATAGAAATTATAAATAGAAAAATAATTTATCCATTTGTGTCTTGATTTATGTTAACATATATGTTAGGCATTATATAAAGATTTGCTAGTAAAAACTAGTAAAACCACCTTCAAAAATTGCTCTTATCTCCAGAATCCCCTCAATTATCATTATGTTAAAGTATATTGAAAACCTTTCGGATAGAGAGGCTAAGAAAAAAGGCAAAAACAGGAAACCTCTATCAAACACCCTCTATCAAAATACCCTCTATCAAACTCCATCAGGTTTGGTGTAGTGCATGTTATGTGAACAGAAGCTTGATCCCAAATAAAAACACATCCTTTCTCTCTGTAGTAGACTACTCCTGAGACACAACGAAAGGAAAAACAAAAGGCTTATTTTATATGTATATGCTGCCATGCTGGGAAAAGTCTTAAATTAAGTTATCATGGGCTTCCTGGTGAGCATAGTTCTTAGCATAAAGGCAGGAAGATCTTCACTTCTCAGAAATGAATTAACAAATCCAATCATGGAATTTGCTTTGGCTAATTTTGTAATAAATATCTGCACAGAGCCAGAAATTAGCACTAGCCAACTTGTTTGCCTCACTGTCAGACAAACAAGTATGTGACAGAGATCTGTACCTGAAAAAAAACTCAACTGGTTAAAGTTTCTGACTCAAGATGTTCAAGGAGAACTAACTAACTTTTCATGATACTTTGATCTTTCATAGCATTCAACATCTATGTTTATGTTTTCTTCTGTCTCAGCTCTAGGAAAAGCATCTAATATGAAATGCAAGATTCTGTGCACTCCCTACACATACATTTGTTTCTCTATTCACTCACTGCCTCTTTTCTTCAGAGAGTGACAATTTTTCCCAGGAAGAGCTGGAAAATGTTAAAGTCCTCACAAGTAAACAAACACAAGGACATGCAGACTTGGCATTTTCCACTTTTTTTTTTTTTTTTTAATGTATTTCTTGCTTGAAAGCCCTCTGTTTGCCAGCTAAAGTAATGAATATTACCTGGCAAGAACTAGCAAAAATTTGTTTAAATGGTAATTCTGGTTTATATCATCCTTTTCACTAGCTGCTATGTAAAGTCAGCTTTGTATAAACAGCTTCTCCTCTCCTCAATGGTATCGTCATATTTCTCAGTTCCAACTGCACCTGTGCCATGTTGCTTGCTGTGATCTGAATTGTACTCACATGATAAGTTCACTGCCTGAAAGCTTCCAACGTAATTTGGTCCCAGGTCATAAATGGTGCTAACGCTTGCAGCAGGCAAAACTTCCTCCAAGAAATGTGTCGGCCCCAAACGCCACACCAAGGAGGAGAGCTGGCGCTGGGCCGGTGGCGTGCCGATGTAGGAATAAACCGTGCTGACCACGGGGGGATTGGCAGACCCAGACCCACTGGGGCTACTGTGAATATAGTGAAGCTGTAAAGAAGAAAACATCATGAAGCTCTATACATTTTATTTTATACATATTCTATACATGTATTTATTACTCTATTATATATATTTATCTCTATATGTTTTATAAATATATTACATATGCACATCAATACATGTAAGGGTGTGAGCACAGTCAAAATGAGGATTTACATTTTGATTTTACCTTGACAGTGTTAATGAGCTGCCCATCAAGGTACAGTGCAGCTGTGCTGTTCTTCAGCATGCCTTTACTCATGACCAGAACTAGGTGATGCCACTGGCCTTCCACTATAAGGTCACCGCAGCGAAAACGGGCACAACAAGGAAGAATTTCATAAAACGATGATTCTTCACTGAAGTCATCAACTAAAAGGAAAGGAACACTTAGTGGGAACAAGTAAAGATGTTGTTAGTCTGTTTTAAGATTGTTATTTCATTAGACTTGACATCTCTCTAAAGAGATGCATTAAAGCCAAAATTTTACTAAGCATGTGCAATAATGTGACCAACCAAAAAAACAGAAAAAATGAGATACACCTTTAAAATTTTTCCTTAAAATTTTCAAATGCAAAAACCGAAAGAATTTTTTTTGTAAGTGTAGTCTAAGTATATTATCACAGATGACCTCACCTACTTGCATATAAACAAGCTAGTGCAATTTTATTAACATCAACCATGGGCCTGGTCTTGTTTTACCTTAATTCTTCCCCCATATAATTCCCAGAATACTTTCAAAGTTTTGAAACTACATTTCACTTCCACTTTCTCATTGAAATTTTAACTGAACTTTAAAAACTGCATTAAGTAGCTTAATGAAGCTTTTTCCTCATTTCCAAGTGTCACCATGTACATCAAAACACATTGTTTGTGGTTTTTAAAAGAAATTCAACAAAGTGCTCAGCAAGAGATAATAGATGTCCCTCTACAACTACAAAGCTATTTTTCATCTTTCTCATACTATAGAAGTATGCAGCCAAAAGTAGGAAATTCTACTGTAGAGACTAACATTTTCTGTATCCACATTAAATCAGACAATGAAAAATATCACTTGTTACCTGAATACCTGGCCCTGCTCTATTTGCACATCAATCACCAGGTTCAGCACTGACTCACTAATATTTGGAAACACAGTCAGTGCAACAGATCTGAAAATCCTTCTTGATTAACGTCACTTTTTTTTTTTTTTTTAAAAGGAAATTACCATCATTATAAACTTCATAGGAGGTGGGCTAATTACCAGGTACACATTGACATAAATGCACAGTAAGAGTTTATAAGAAATTCTCTGTAATACTATTTTTACAGCTAAGAGCTGAGAAAGGAAGCCACCATGTTGAATTTAAGTTAATAAAGCCCAAAGAAGGAAAAAAAATACAGTGAAATGAGGATATTCTGCTGATTAGCTCTGCCCTAACCTGTAAATTCTCAAAAGATTTGTATTCTGTAAGCCACATTTATCAAATACTTGCTAAACACTGTTTTCGTGTGTAGCTTGCAATTATCTTCCTTAAGCAATTAGGTGACACACACAAAAACATAAAACACAAGAAAGGCTTTGTAAGAATCATCACGCTAAATTACATAGTAGCATTAAGTGGATTAGAGTTGGGTTAAAAGCCTTAGGTTTTTTTCCTTAATAAAAGCTGCAAATAAGATAATTGGCTAGAGAGAAACACACCAAGTACAGGCTAGCTGGAATTCAAACCTTGGTACACTAGTTTTTTTTCTTCCCTTCTTGCAATCTTAAGGAAAATCCAGTTTCTGAAGCGATGCTACTACAGGAATGGCCTAGTGATTTTTAGATTAGATATTTGCCCAATCTGTTGGGCAAAAGTATTTGTTCTAGTGTTCAGTATCTTTATCTCAGGTAGCCATCCTAGGCTTTTCTGTAGAAATATCAGTGACGTTTGAAATAGCAGCCCCAAGGGTTGCTGTTGGCAACCAGTTCCTATTCACCCAATATTGCACCCATATTCTATATTCCCACGTGGTTTTCAGGTCTTTCTTTACCACCGGGTGCTCAATTCCCTTCTTTTGAAGGCTTAAACACACTTAGTTCTTAATGCAATATTTAAAAAATTTCTCTAAAATCCCTTCTTAGATTTCACATCAGAAGGCATGATCAATTTGCAGTACAAGTTGAAAATAAACTTGCTGTCACGGCCCCGTAACACTGCCAGGAATAACTGATGACACTGCACATCCCTTACCGTAGTTCTGAAGCAACTCTTCTTTAGTGGATACAATTAGTGACCGGTCTTTTGCTGAGAGGACGATGGCCAGGCAGACGTAATGCTGCTCAGAGGAGTTGGCACGGCGCACGACAGTAAGCAGCCTGACTGGGTGGCTATTGGGAGGGGTACTGAAGTGTTCGATGCAAAACCAAGTGGAGTAGCTTAAGCCAGATGGTGGTGGGAAAAATCTTTCACCTAAAAACAAAAATTAAAGCCCATTTTAGCTGGAGTAGCTATCACTGGGTATATCCATGCGTTCCTGGTGTTCCAGCCAACTTGGGCTTGAACTTTCAGTCTTTCATCTCTGAATGAAGCTTGGATTTAAAATACAAACACATAAAGCTAGCTCACAGTGTTTTCTTTCCAAACCCAGTAAAGCAAAAAATAGCATGCTATTCCCTAATATATTAAAAAGAGAATATAGCCCTCAAGATGTACTTTTTCAGAACACCTCAGTTTCGGTTCTTCAAACAAAAACAAGAAATGGAGGTGGAGATGTTTAATATCCTGACAAGCTGTTTTTTTTTTTCCATGGGTGTAACTCAGTTTGCATCCTCATGAGGACCACAGAAGTATTTCATAATAACAACTAGCAGTGAGAGAGTCTCCTAGCCGTTGTTGAATCAGGTCTCTCCCCCACACACACCTAAATCCATCTGACAGCCCAGGGTGCTCAAAGATTCCAAAAGTTCTCAGTTAAGAGCATCCAGTGCCATGCTATCAGTTCTGCATTAACCAAGAAACATAAGAGAAGTCATCATCACGCTCAGCAACACTTGAGCACTTACCAGTTCCGATCCCACTGACAACTGCGCCATCCACAAGTCCTGTTGTGACTGCATTATTTGTAGGTGCGTTGTGGGGAGCCAGACTTGGCAAGAACAGACAGCTGTTAAATAAACCATCAGGAACATGTTAGAGTTTATGAAAGTTGACAGAGTTTGAAGCAAACAAAATATAGCCTTGAAGAATATACTGTATGCAAATCACCACTCTCTTTGACAGTATGTCTTATAAAAAGTGGAAATGTATTTTCAAGAGTTTTCCTGGTGGGGTTAAATTGCCTCCACTGCAAAGAGCTTTGGCAGCAGATCTCTGGCTCTGTAGCACAGAAGTGTTCCCTTTTGGGCCACTATCACTTGTTAAAGCTTTGAGATGTTCTAAAGTATCCTAAAGACTGGATAAGTTAAATACTCAAAATATTTGATACAATGGTTTTATAATATTCTCATAGTGATGTTTTAAGTCCTTACAAGAGCCATTGGTGTCTTTGACCTCTCAAAAATGGATATAAGGAGTACCAGGTATCAAGTGATATAAAAGACACAGATGATTTCAGTGACCACCCTACGGAGGGTGGAGTGAACTCCACAGAAGTTCTGCTTTCAGTTTGTCTTTAAGCTTATTTCTGCTTTGCCCACCTTCCTCATTAGCAAGATCACCAGAAGTTTTAAGTGGATTTCAGTGCATTTGTACTATTCAAATGCTGAACATGAACCCCAGCAACTGATACTTTTCTGCAAGATTACATTTGTGTCTGCCTAATTTTAAAACAGCCTTAAGTATGCACATGAAAACCAGGTCTGAAAGGGCAATACATTTGCACACATAAACACTTATACTTTCACATCTAATTAGTCACCAGCGGTTTTGAGTCCCTAATTAAAATGAATAGAAATTCATGTGGCAGCAAGTATTCCACTCTAAACTAAATAATTTTTTTCAGTTTGCAAGCTTCTCATCAGAAGTTACACTTACTTGAAAGAAGAAAGGAATAGAGCATTACACCGTGTACTGTGCTCTCCGAGAGCACTGCAGGACCTTACCCGAACCCTTCGAGAGAAGTGTCAAATTCAATAAAAGCAGGAGTGACCGATGATCCATGAAGCCTGATATCATGTGGGGTAGTCATGGAGACCAAACACTTCACTCTCGTCAGGGGCACTGTGCTCCCTTCTGCTGGTTTTAGCAGGCTCTTGCTTATCCGATAGTGGCTGTCTTCATGCAAGCTGAACACGCTGTCAGAACCGAGGCCTTCCATAGAGGTCACCATGCTATCTACAGAAGGAACCAGGAAAAAACAGCAGCATTGCAACAGGGAGACACTTGCAGGCCATGTATTTTGATTTTTAAAGGCTAAAGGGGAGAGTTCAATGGTCATCAACAAGTTTAGCCTCTCAGTGAGATGATGAGGTGGGAAGTATAACTCTCAAGCGAGTTAGCGAGTGAGATTAACGTCTTGGGCAGGATTTCATAGAAAGGCCATGGTAAGGCCAAAAACTGAGTCAAAAATCCACCCCATCGCCTAACATATGGAAAAGGCCCCTTTTTGCGTAACCCTTGTTTGGGTGCATTCCTGTTGTGTGACCTATTAGACAGGAAAAAAGACTGATTCATGTTTTTCAGATGCACTAAATCTGAACTAAAACTCCTAGAGCAAGCTGAAAGGCTCAGTAAGCTCAGCTTACTAAATTCACTATGCTGAATTGCAAATTGAATCTGGTGACACAACACAAATTCAGTCCTTTCTAAATCAGAGATACAGGATCGAGTATGAGAGCTGTATACTCTGGTACTAGAGAGAAGGGATTTGATGCTTGGAATTCAACATTATCCAAGACATTTTCTAAAAAACTTTCAAATACTTCAAATGTTTCAATTAAGCTGTTTTTAACAGCATGCTACAACTCAACAGATGACAAGAAGTTTCTATCTTCAAATATCATTTGTAGATATGGAAACTTAGGAGTTGTATTATAATTTACTTTCCTATGCTACATTAACAGCTGTTCAAGTTCTACAATTTAGTGCTGATAATAAGAGGAAAAAAGTAGTGAGTCTGGAAAACATTGACTGGAGGAATGTACTTATATTAAACTCGAGAACAATCCCCTTACAGACGTTTGGTCCAATTTATCAGATTGATTCATCAAATAGCTGGAAAACAGACACCTCTTCTAGGGTGATAATTCTAGCTGATGAGCAATTGCAGCATGGGGTATGTATACGTGGATGAAGTGCACCTCCATGGGTGAACTTACACGAGAGGAAACCACGCAAAGAGGCAACAGAAATTTTCACAGCCTAATATCTCTATGTCTCTAATTTAGACAATGAATATCCTGTCAAAATAAACTGTGAAAGCCTTTTGGTAGTGTTAATTACACAATTAAAACTAAAGCTTATATATAGCAGAGCTGTTTTTTTTTCTTTTTTTTCTTTTAAACAGTGTGTAACCCTGTCCTTTTTCTTCAAAAGTTTTAGGTTATTGTGTAATTATAGTTAAATCCAGACTTTAAGTATATCAAGAACATTATTAAAAGCAAGCAATGAGAAAAGTGCTATAAATAGTTATCATGACAAATTAATGAATGAAGAGCAAATTCCTTAACTTCATAATTAAAACTGGAGTTCCAACTTCAAATTTTACCCCTGTTTGGGTAAGAGAATTATTATATTGAAATATTTGCCCAATTTTTGTGAGTTTTCCTCATCTATATATTTTTTCATTTCTATTTCACTCTCATTAGTAGGGATGTTAACAACTGCATGGATTCTTATTCTAGTGAAAATATATGGAATTACGCTAAACTGTAGGAATCTGGGTTATTTTATCTGCCTCTTTATCAAATCTATGAAAGAACCTATGAATTAAACTTAAATAGATTCAGTGACATGTAATGCTCACATGAGAGTATCTGAAGAAATATTTTTTCTAAATAACTAGTTGCATATTCTATAAAAGACTCAAAAGCGATTACCATATATGATTATTGTTTTTAAATATTTATGAATGAATACACATCTTTATGAAATATGCAACTGTGGGCAATGAAACTTTAAAATGGGATTTTAGCACTTAAGCACTTACTTCTCATCTCTGGTTCAAAACTCAATGAGCTGGGTTTATGCACCCGATATTGTTTCAGTAGCTTTTTATCCCAAGCTCCACAATTCAAAGGATTTCCCAGGCGTAAAAATTCCCTAAGAAGAGAACAACAGAAAAATAAATTAAAAATTAAAAAATAAAACACACTGCACATCAAATTACCTATTTACATTCCTGCAATGACATCAAAACTAACATCCTTTTTAAAAAAGTGACAGCAATGGCAGTAATGAAAAGAAATATTTAATTCATTTAGAACTATTTCAGTTTTAACAACACATGATAGAAATTTGACTTTTTAACTATCAAACACACAATTTCGAGTGGGAGTTATCCTGGATATAATGCTTTGCAGTGAGACTGTTACTTTCTGTAGGAAAATATCCAGAAAAGCTTGCCAGTTCATGCATGTCAAGTTAAACTCACCTTGAAAGGCAGGACATGGGCCAAAGCGAGCAAGTGACCTGGACACTGTTTTATCAGAGTGCCCAGCCTTAATAGAGAGATGGTTTCGTGGCTGTCAATATCTGTATCTAGAGACACCTGCCCCATCAATGGCTCAAGGAAGTGTTGATATTACCTGCTAGTTGCAGAATTATTTCTGGTACTGAAGTGAACTGACAAACTGTCCTCTCTAGTACTAAGGCTGCAAATCAGCCTGTCAAAAATCCACAAAAGATTTTACACTATTCTCAGAAAAGTAATTTTACAAGAAAACTTGCTTTTAACTGGGCTAGACAGTGCTAACAAAGTTTAAGAGTAGGGCAGTCAACCCCATACTCCTCCCCAAAGACTTGAATTTTTAGACATTCTTTCTACTATTTTCCCAGTTCCTTCACACAGCTATGATGCTAGGTAAAACAGCTGGCCTGAACTTTTCCTAACTGGAGCTATTTACTGTTGCATGGAAACATTTAGGACTCTATTATCTTCCATGACAATGTTTAAAACTGTCACTTTTGCTCTTCCTGATGATCTAGCCAGGAGCTGCCCTTCTGACAGCCTGGCAAGACTTGCAGGAAGGAAGAGAGCATTCAGTCTCAGTAAAACCTCTGCAAAACAAAACAATGGCCGCTCACCCCCCTCTCCTCAAACCCCCAACATCTCCAAGGTTACAGGCCAATGAGCAGAAGCAAGACAGCCTATTTTGGGAGAAATAAAATGGGATACTGGGCAAGCGCTCGCACACAGGGTCATTTATGCTCTCTAACAATCAAAGGTATTTCCAGCCAGCCAGAGAGGGGTTTGGCTGCAAGGTTCCTGACCTCAGCACCATGGGCTGCAGGGCCTGCGACGCCAGCCTTTCGAACATGCGCTGGAGCGGCGGGGGCAGCGAGTGGTCCTGGTCGGCCAGCGCCGCGCTGCAGCGCTGCAGCAGCCGCGCGTGCAGCCCGGCCTCGCACATCACCTGCTGGTTTCTTTCCGTATGCACCAGGCTCTGCAAGATGTTGGCCACCGCCAGCTGGAGGTCCAGCGCGTGCTGAAAAACACACGGAGTAAAAGAACAGGCAGTCATCGAGGTGATGCAAATGGACGAGACAAAAAAAAAAAAATCACCTTAAATGAAGGAACAGAAAATGAGTTACCATTAGCAATAAATACACAAGTCCCATACTTAAATGTGTGTGTGTGGGCACAGCGAAGAAAATGTCCAACAAATCCTTTATTTATAAACAGCTCGCAGTGGTTTTTCTCCCACAGTGGTATTCAGCAGGTAGGGCAGTTTGACATATTGCAGTTACTTCAAACAGTATGTATACAGCAAGCTATACTATCCAATCTAATGTCCTCCTTGCACTGTGTGCAAGATCTGATACAGCAGGAAACACCAGAATTCAGCACAGCACTTGGCAAACACTTCTGACAGCCACTTCAGGCATTTCTTTGAATTTACACATTACAGCCAGCAAGTCAAAAAAAAAAAAAAAAAGCCTGTGAAATAAAGTGGCTTATATGTTTTTCTATACAACAAATTATTCAACTTGATTACTCTGTTCTGTGAAATGTTTTAGCTGGTCATTATAAAATGAAAGAGCAGCTTGTCTTTTTCTAGCCATTCTTTTCCCCAGTTACTCTCAAAGCTTAAGATAGTGGCTTTTTTGCCTACTTCTGGCTGTGTGGTTGATCCAACAGAGGCGAGAAGATCAAGCATTGCAAGCATAGCACCAGGGTGGATAATAACTGCCTCAGAGCTCTGAAGCGACGTAGATCCTGTCTGGAGTTTTGCATCAGCAATGTTTTTCTGAGGGTAAACAGGAGGTGTTGAGACAGAGTGATATGCATGCCTGCAAGAAGAAAAGGATAACAAAACAGACAAAGCAAAAAAACAACACGTTATAAAGCTCATCCAGGATTAGCTTTGCACTTTTCAAATGGCTGCTGCACAAGTCAAAAAAAAAAAAATCCTCTCCAACCCACATTATTCTCCTCTCCTTTCCTTAAACACACAAAGTGCTTTCCTCTTCTCAAATCTGTTCTTTGATTTCTTTCCCCCCTTTCAATCTGAAAGCACTTGCAACTCTGGCCTGCGCTCCATCTCTGTAGCACTGTTCCTTACATGCTTAGTGCAAAAACACCCTCACTGCAAAAAGTTTAAAATTCTCCTTTATCCTCTTCCTCTTTTTCCTTCTTATTAATGTAGTAACATACGCCGTGATAGAAGCACGGCCTACCACCATTCCCATTATGTGGGACATACTCAACTTCAAATATGTTTCTCTCCATTTGGTCTTCATTACCTATTACAAATCCATAGGCAATCTTTGAGAATACAAAGTTTGTCTCTGGGTAGACTCATGCCAGCAGTCCATGTGTTCTCCGCCTTTCATCGACTCTTCCAGCAATTTAAATCTACATTAAGTTTTCTCAGCCTGAGCTAGGGAAAAGAGAGTTTGATGCACTGACATTGAAGCTGCCACTTGCACCAACAGCCCTCAAAGCGCTTCTCATTTCAACAAAACACCCAGCAGCATCAGCTGGATGAAAAGGTCTTTCAGCTACAGATTCAACACATTAAGTTGAATGTAAGCATCAATGTAAGCTTTCATAACGATAGTTTAGGAGCAAATATACCTCACAGGGACCTCGAGAGTTCATGCTCACCACAAAAATATATATATATAATTTCCCATACATGCCTGGCTTTAAGAACAAAACCAGGAATTACATTTAACAACTTTCCTGAAGGTCAAATATTGGTGCTACTTTACAAAGAATGAATCCTTTCAAAAAGAGGTTTCTTCAGATCAGTCCAACAAGACTTCTCCTCTCGCACTCTCAGGCACCAGGACTCCCCTTCAAGAGTACTAACAGTCAAAGAGTCTCTGTGCTTTAACCATTAAGTTCTCTGATCAGGAAAGAAAAACAGAACACTCTCTACAACATCAATCCTCCAAACTTTTCTAGCAGACTTAATACATGAAATACCTCATAAGTTGGGAAAAGCTCAGCTTTTTTTTTCAATCAAATAAAATTAAGAAGGGCAGAACGAGTGGCAATATTGAAGCAACATTGCAATATTGCAACCCTTTCCTCTATCTTAACACATACAATGAAAGAGAGGCAACTTTTTTGATGCATCCCAGTAATAGCACTCTAGCAAATATGTTTTTCCTCTATATTTCAAGAAAACTGCTGCCTCTTTATAGCTTCACCTTCGAAGTCTCACAGCAAGTTTTAAGGTGTAGGATTTAAGAACTAAGTATTAAGGTGGAGGATTCTAAGTATTCCTTCCTGTTTAAGCAAGTTCTTCAATCTAATGAAATTCTACGCTCTAAGAAATTGTTAAAGAACAGACTTCCACCAACTTTTAAGCAGAAATTATATGTCTACGTGTCCTAATCCGGGGTATCAAATTCACTTCCTCAAGTAAACTTGGACGTTTTAACCCAACCATGCAGAGAGAGACGAGTGAAACACATTTCTCCGCATGATTCACCAGCAAGCACATGATCCTGGCCTTGCACTGCCTGCACTTCAGCATCACGCACAGAGAGCTGCCTAGGGAATACACTCAAGATTAGATGATTTGAGGTTTTTTTCCTGCTGTCACTACAGAAAAGCTATGTCCCACAAGCAAGCATCGCCATTCGGATGATTCGCACATCCCTTCAAAATATCCCAACTTCCCTACTCATTTCGTCATATAAAGAGTCCTTGTGCCAAGCCATAAAAACGACCGGTTCAAAAATATTTGCTAGTCTGGGAAAAGAATCTAGATCTTATAAAGTCCTGCCAAAACATTCATCACGTGTTATAGGTTTGTATTGCGGTGCAGAACTTGCATAAATTTCACTTACGCGCTTAAATATTTTTATGTTCCTTTTTTATATTCTCTAGGGGAGAGGAAAGGAAGCAGCAGACAATGGAAAAAAGGTCACATGTGAGGGGCAACCCATGTATCATTCTAATTTAAAGAAAAACAAAACTGAAAAGCTTTCAGATCTGAATTGCATAATCAAGCCCGAGGGGTGATGTGAAAAATGACACTAGTTTTATTTGGGAGAATAAATAAGAACTGCCCCTATAAGAAGATGGCCCCTACATGTATCGTTCTCAAGAGTGATCATCACCCAAACTTTAAGGAGCTTTTAGCTTTTATTTTTATTAAGTGACGGTATGTTCTAGTCTCCCTTTTAGCTTGTCAGGCCCAAAGCCTCCTCTTGAGGAAAGAAAAAGAAGATGAGGATGCTCTGTCAAGGCAGATTTTCTTCTAGAATTAACAGCAGTCAAAGCAGTGGCAGAGCTATGGTTCTTAACTTAAATGACATAGGGAGGCGAAAGAACATTGCATCCCATATAACACTGGGAAAAAAAAACTGTGCTCTAACACCACGTGTGCTGGAAAAGTCATACTTACTCCTTTTATTTACACATTTACTGCGCAATATTCCTTGGGAAAATACAACTTCAGATAGCAGTAGGTAGTGAGAAAAATCTCAGTGTCTCTACTCATCCAGAGCTGTTCTAAACCACACGTATGCAAACCAGAACCAAACCATTTTTGTTTACAAAAGTAATGTGTGTGCACACGTGTTTGCTTGTGGTTTTAGGCAAATGACACGGGGCTCTCCCCTAGGGATCTGTCATCTGAGTCAGAAGAGGCAACTGGGGAGACTCAGGGACAAGAAAGGGAAGGAGGCAGAAAACACAGAGAAAGGAGGCAACGCGGCTGTCCAAAGAGTCATTTTTATGAAATTAGAAAACAGGAAAAAAAGAAACCCAAACTAAATTTGGATAGCACCCTGTCTTAACCATTTTTTTAAACTATGTAGCCTGCTACTACACATTTTTTTAAAAGTAAAACTGCATTTCACTATCAGAGCAGTCCAACAAAGGAAGCCTAATGCATTTATACACACATATGCATCCACATATATTTATGTATACGTGCATTAAATTAATAGGCTGTGTACCAAGCTGGTACTCTGTCACTCATGATGTCCCCATATCAGATTATGTTTGGCAGGCATTAAATGCATTCTGCTGCCAGGAAATTTCTGCAGATCTCTGCATTTGGAGGGCTGAGGGAGCCTGAGCAGGGTTAGGCATAACACTGGCTGTTACTATTTTTGCCAAACCTGTAGAAAACCTTCAGAAGAAGGGCTGCTTTCTTTTTAGTTTGCTCAGTGGAAGTGAGAGAAGAGGTGCTTGGCAGCTAAGGTTTTGGGTTTTCTCTCTTCGAAGGGTAACAGTGAGGTCTGTCCCCAAATTCCTCAGTGCTAGAAAAGAAGTAACAGCACGAGAGGAGCTGAATTGTTAGAAAAGTGGCATTTCCCAAGCGAGTGCGTGCAGAATGGCCACGCATGACGTGTAACCCTGCTCAGCAGCACAGAGACCTGCTTTGGTGAGCTGCTTTAGTCTCACGTTTCCTTTCCTGGCTACTTAGAGTGCGTGCAGAATGGCCACGCATGACATGTGTAACCCTGCTCAGCAGCACAGAGAGCTGCTTTGGTGAGCTGCTTTAGTCCCACGTTTCCTTTCCTGGCTACTTCCAAACACAGCTTTAGTGGCTTCCCCTTTGCAAAATATTTTGCATTTCATGCTTGAGATTTGTGACTGGAACAACACTCAAATAAGCCACCAGATCCTGAGGTACAAAAGACAAGACTTGGGAAAATACATGTGTTTGCATGTGCATTGCGATTTCTCAGTTGTCTCAACTGTGTTTACTTGCCAAACCTTCTAATTTAGCAGGTCCCCTTGCTATTTGCTAGTCAAGTACAGACAGGTTCATCCTTACCTTGTATTCTGTACAAGTACTAACAAATGAGCACCTTCACAAGCCATTAACCTTCGGACTAAAAGAAAATACCCCTTTGCATTTGTTTTACGCAATAAATACACAAGTCAACATGCACACCTTAAAAAGAAAAACAAAACACCAGCTTGAGAGAAAAAGTAAGAATGAAGAAACACAACAGACAGAAACCAGAAGCAAGGTGAGTTTCTTTTAAAAGGGTCGGTACCTTTTCCTGGACAAAGCTGGTGTTCCCCAGGGAGAGGGGAGAGAAGTCTCATTTGTCAGGCAAGGAGGAATCTGTTCTGCACGACTACAGACAAAACAGACAGGGGTGGGACAGAGAGGTTAGAGAAGAAACCAGAGGCGAGAAGCTTGTTAGTTTTACAAAAAACACCACCAATAAATCTTTTAGAGGATCCCTGCTTCAGAAGCAAGGCAGGCGACGAGGAGCACTACTGAGCAACACGGAGACACTGGGTTTGTGCACGGCTTGTTGCTCAGAGGGTTGGTGTTAATGATCCTGAGAGCCAAACAGAATCACTGTTTCAGTGCTAAATGGCAGAAATCAAGATGAGGAATTAAAGCCTGAGCAAAACAGTTTGACCAACATAGGTTAGAAATAAAATCAATGTTAACTTCACAAAAAACAGACGATGTAAGAAAGAGGGGAGAACACAATCACTAAAGATGACAGCAAAAAAAGGCAATGAATGAGGATGCTTACACAGCAGCTCTACAACATTTACTTACCCCATTCTTGCTTCTTCATACTCTACTGTTAGATATTGTTACGGTTTTAATCTTATAGTATGTGCAACATATTCTTAATACCTTTTTCATTCCCTCAAATAGAATGTCAGCGATAGTTTTAAATGAGATTAAGTAAATCAATTTGCTCTGAGTGTGAGCTGAGAACTACCTTCAAACAAGCAAAACATAAGCCCATACTCCAATATAATGTAATTTTTTAACAAAACAGAAGACTTGCACTTTACAAGCTAAATGGGGGACAGGCCTATCCACCTAAAAAAAACCATAACAAACAAAAAATCAATTTACTTAGACATCACCTAATGATTTGTCTTAAAATTCCACATTAAAGAAAACCAGAAATTATAGGGTGATGCTGATTTTTTTCAGTTGACATAAGATGCACAAAGACCCCCTAGTTTTGTAGCATAAAGCAAATAGACAGGCCAACTCTCAAGCAACCTGTTGCTTAAACATATCAAATATAATCATAAATGGCCATCTCTGTCTTAATTGATATCACGCTGAAAACGTTGAACAGAGGGAATACTGCATATCCCTGAAAGAACCTCTACACTAAGACAGTATTTGGTCACATGTGGGTCGTGTGGTCGTATGGGTGAAGTGAAGGAACAAAGAAATAGATTAAGGTGGAAATACTAAAGCTTGCAATGAACACATTTCAAGGAAAATATTTGGGGGAACAATACAAAAAAAAAGGCCCATACCTGTCAAAAGAATCTGTTGCTACTTTGTAGAGGTAAATAAAAAGTTTGCTGCAGTGCCGTAGCGTGGGTGACACTGAATCCAGGGATTTTAGGTCATCCTCCAATAGTCTTTGAAATAGCTGTGTATTTGAAGGGAAGACATTCAAGGGACTTATTTTCCTAGAGTCTGAGAAGCAGCCAAGCAATCGAACAGCATCTGCCAGCTTTTCATACTGGATCTCTGTTTTGAAGAAGTGAGAGTTGGCTGGCTCATAGCGCATCGCTGCAGTCAGTGTGCAGAACACAGTGTGAAGCAGTTCAAACACTTGATTCTGGTTTACTTTCTCCCAGCCATTCTTCGGTGGTGAGCACAAGGATCTTTCCATGGCAACGAGTAAAGATGTGACATACACAAATCCACCAACTTTTCTAAATACAGTTCTGGTGCGGTGGCTTTCTCTTAGCACTGAGAGTAGGGCCTATGGACAAAAAAGAAAGAAAGAAAAAGAAAAAAGGAAAAAAAAAAAAAGCTGTGTTATTAATACCTTGGAAAAGACAGCAATTTTGTTTGGCATGCTAGCCAAATTATTAGCCATATTTGTCAGAATTTGTTAATGCCTAGAGTCTCCAAAGATGAACATATAAAGGACTGTAAGAGTCTACATCCGAGAGTTAACAAAATCAACAACAGGTGGAGAAGGAATATCTGTAATTAAGAAATAAGAAAGCAAGTTGATAAATGACCTGCTAACAGAAAACCTTGGCAAAGTCTACAGCAAAGGTAGACTTGTAAGAAAGGATCCCCCAAGTAATTCGCTTAGTGATAAGGCAAAAAAAAAAAGTAGGGATTTGAGAGGAATCTGCTCTGCTATTCTACTTCATAAACAATTCACATCCCAACTGAGCAAATGACTGCCTGTAGAAACGAGAAATCTTTAGCATTTAAAGACTTAGTATCTTAAACCCATGGGGGAACACTAAAAATTACTAATAACGTTGATAGACAAAGTATGTAGAGTGAATCATTTTTTACTAGCTTTTCTTTTCCTCTTTTTGAGTGACTTAAGACTGTGCATCTAGAAGAGAAACATCACAGGTCCTTTTAGTAGAGGTGAAACCAGATGTGCCTGAGTTCCTTCCAGTAAGATTCACCTTTACCTATCATGGTTTGCTTCTTTTCTACCCTAAAAGAACAGTGGTATATCCTTTTAAGAAATAACATTAGCTATTCTGAGAAAAAAATGTGGTCCTAGGTTAGCAGCTAAATAAACTAGTAGCACAGAACAGCTGACATTCTTCTCTTCCCTACTCACAGTTCTCCTCAGGCTGAGCTGATCCTCTATGGTCACTGTTATTTACATTTATGTTAACAAATTAAATATTTGTAAATCAAAAATGGAGGTCTGCCATAGGAAAATTCAAACCAGGCACTGAAAATACACTTCTGTGTTAAGTGTTTGCTTTTCTGTGCCTCTTCAATATTTTTAACTAACAACCTGCCAGGGTAGCCTATCATAACTGTAGGTCCTCATTTCTCCGCCATGAATGATCATTACAAATTATGATGCTAAAGCCAACCAAGTTACTCAGTGATGGTCACATCTGTCAATTCTGAAACTCATGCAGGAAAGAAAGAAAGAAAGATCTATTTTCCTCATTTGAGCTCTATGGGCCATCTATCTGCAGTAGCTATATATCCAAGCAAATCCTATTTACTGCATATTGCAAGAGCAAGGGTCCTAAGGAGTATTTTATTTACCCTAAGGATGTCTGTCTTCAGCTGCAGTTCTGTAGGTGGAGCGGAGTGCATGAGGCCCAGCAAAGTGCCCATATCGTCCTCCCCGCTGGGTGATAACACCAGCTGCTGGATGATCATCAGCGCGTGCTGCCGGCACTGCGGGTACTTCACTATGTTGTGCACACATCTCGCCCCACCAAACTCCCTGAAAATACCTGTGCGGAAGGGAGAGAAGAGGACAATATCATAAGGAACATGAGAAATACAATCAGCAACAGATAATAACCAATAAAACATGAAATGCTTCTATAATGCTTCAATCATTTTATTAAGTGTGCTTGTATGTAATGTGTAAAGCATATGTAAATATGTAAAGCAGACTCAGTATCATATCAACACCTAAGCTAACTAATGAATGTGAAAATAGAGCAAGAAGAACCATAAACACTGCATTAGTCCATCAGAAGGGGCAGAAGCAGGGCCAACATAAGGCAGTTTCCAAGGTTGGGGCTGGTGCTATCACATCCTTACACCATCTCCTCTCAAGCAGCCTTAGGTGTTCTTAAACTCTCCTTATATGAAAATGCCCATTTTGAACCATTTGTCACTCTTTTCCAAATCTTTGCTAATTTATTGCCACAGCAGAGGAATAAATGTGGAAATGCATAATTGATCTATATAATTCACTGTAATGTATGCTAATTTCTCCCTAAATCTCCTTTTTTTTCCAGAATAATTGACTCCCTTCTTCACTGGTCATTGAACAGTTTCATCTACTAAATCAACAGTAATGTTCTTCTTCCTCTCTTTTGATGGGATCTCTTGGTTGGTGGAAAAAAAGAAAGAAGCAACAGCTCTCAACTCCAGCAAAGCTTCTGGCTCATTTTGCACAGCATCCTCACAAGCAACACGCAAAGAAGACGATAAAAATCCTCCAAAATACACTTGGCTGCTTTAAAGATAACAGTGATCTGCCGCTGACCTCCAAAACTACTGGGCATGGGATATATGTCAAGACAATGGAAGCTGAACTCACAGCAAAGAATAAATGATGTGTATGAGGAAAAGCTCTGCTAAGCGATAAAACATTACAACTATTGAGATAAGAACTCTATATAAAATCCTTCCTGGAAAGTTTAATAGCTTCATCGAACAGGATGGCCTTCACACCGTTAATCCAGTCTCAGCACGTGGAACCAGACTCGAGGCCATCAAACCCTTCTTAAGGCCGTGATACTTAGATTCCTTGACAGTGGTACCTAACTCTAAACTTTCAAATAATTCCAGCCCCTATTCACATGTGTACTTTTTGGTGGAGTGCTTCAGAATTAGAAATCCCTTAGACACCATCCAGAACAGAGGTGTTGATAGCACATATTCCACCCAATTCTGAAACTCCAAAGGACACAGGAATTTTCTTCTACTAAACCCTTTCCACACCGATGATGGACACCCTTTTCCACACTTCATTGAAAAACATACTTAAACTCCAAAGGACACAGGAATTTTCTTTTACTAAACCCTTTTCACACTGATGATGGACACCCTTTACCACACTTCATTGAAAAACATACTTTCTACCTTACTTTTGATCACATTCTTCTGAAAGCGTCTTCCTTCTCAGTGACCTACTAATCGGAACATAAGATCTAAAACAGAGTTATGGAAACTGCATTCTTGTCTTCACTACACAGCATCATACACTGTTGCTGTAAATAGAAAATAACACACAAGTGGGACAGACGGAAGAAAACGGTAGGGAGGCTTTAGTGCTCCTGTTAAATCCCAATCTCTTGCTCTTTGATTGCATTGCTGGTAGCACCTGAGACCCTGAAACAAGGACATGAGCAGCTCTGGTGCCAGGCTCAGGGGAAACAAATGGGAGCTGATGGCAGGGCTAGGATTCCCTCTCCTCCACCTGCACTGGATCCAGTTCTGCGCTGCAGACAGCAGAGCTACAGACACTAAAACCACACAAGTTGCCCAAGGCAGGAAGACTCAGAAAGCTCAGAGAGGCAGAGCGGACAACCTCCCAATATATGAAGGAAAATTTTCAGACTCACTACTGACCCTCTCTTGCTTTTGTTTTAAGACAACATCTTGTACCACCTTACCCCAAGAATTATTCATCAACTGACCAGTTCTTTTCATTAGCAAATGCTTTCAAATCTGTTTGCACTCATAAAACCTGCAGAAAGTGTAAGTTAACTTCCCTAGATAAGCAGGAACATCATGGGACAAAAGTTAAAGAACAACAACAAAACCTAGAGGGTGAAGTGCAAGAAATAATTTGCCCAGCAAAAGGAAGGAAAAAAAAATAGATATAAGCTTTGATCAATCAGGCCATAAATTATGTTTTAACATTAAGCTGTCAACTTGAACTGGACAACTTTCTGAGCTGCTTTCTTAAGCATTTGTCACAGATTCTAATTTCTCCTAGTAAAATAAAAGCAAAACAAAAAATGGAGAAAAGAAATAGAGTTGGGGGCTGGGGGAGTACTGGAATTAAGATGTTTCATGGCCTTCAAGGCCAGAAGCCTTCTGGTTCCTCAAGCATTGCTTCTGTTGCATCACTCACCCTCCATCTGTTCTTTTAAATTCTTAGAGACAGTTTTTACTTATGTTAGACACACATATTGTCCGTTTCATTGTCAAGATGTGTTGGATAGTAAAATAGTGTGTAGCATTACATGGATCTGCCTGATTTTAAAAAATGAGCCTCACAGCGGAGCCCAATTTGTAACACACTGCCTGGAAATTTCCTTTAAAAACTGAAAGCTGTCTTTCACTAAGCATCACATGGATTTTTATCAGATTTAGACAGACATGCCAATGTTAACAAATTACTTACCTAATCTTGCACTTAAATCTTCCAAAATAAAGCCAGTGTTACAAACCCTACTACAAATTACAGACTTGTTGGCAAGTGGTGATAGGGGATTCTGACTTCATTGTGTTTGATATATTCACCTCTATCTTCAGGCAATTAATCCAGACTACTCTTCCCTTGGGCATGTGCTTCACAGTTACAACTTCACAGCTATGTTGTCAGCAGTCTCTTCACCTACCTGCATTCGTGTTTGATCCTTGCAGTAGTACTGTCAATGTTTCCATAACCAATAAAGCCAGCTGCTTTTGGTCCTCAAATGAGCTGTTTCTTGAATCCCCTGAAAAATAATTTCAGAAGATGATAGTGGTATTTTCCACCAGCATTTTCTGTTGTCCCTCACTATTCCCCTCCTTTTAGAAAGAGATCCTAACACAAGAGCTTATGTCTGCAGGTAGCAGTCTAATCAGATGACAGATCAGTCCAAGAAGCACTGGAAAACTAATAGATTTTTCAGCATTTGCTGGCAATAGAGCTTTCTACCTCTAATCAACTGCTACCACTCATTAACAAGATGTCAGATGGTAAATCTGAGTGAAACAGTCAAAGATTATGATTAAAATATAAATATCACTGATACACACTAATTATACTGCATTTTGAATAAGGAATATTAAAACAGGTGGAGTGTGTGTGCGTGTAAGTATGCACTTAATGACACTTGTCATGCCTGGGGTTAAACCCACTGAAATACCTAAGTATCTTCTCTATAGAGATATACATTTTTCTGTAGCAATATGGATTGCTATAGCATTACTCCTTTACTTTCTCTTTTGTTATATAATTTCAATTTTAAAACAATACACTGAAACAATCATTTTTAAAGGCAAATACGAGCTATTTCACATTCCCACTGCGTCTTTCATTAAAGATTGCCTCAGGCTTCTTACACAGCATAAGGAGAGAGGAATTCCCAGGAAATATAAGATCTCACAGCTGACCCTGGCAGAATGGAGCCCTTTAGGCAGGTGTGCAAGTTCCCCTGTTCCTCCCTGCTAGCCTCCCCACTCCCAGACAAAAAAGACATATATTAGGCAAAGGGAAAAGGACGCCGTACCTTGATCGTTCAGAGCCTGAGTGGGATCTTTCAAAAGGGCTGCATATTTATGAAGAAGATTTACCATCACCTCCAAAAGCCCCACCTCCCTGAAGACATCCTTAAAGATGTAGTCATGACGAGTGAATTTAAGAAGTGTCTTCGTTGCAACGATGCTACACTGGTAAGAGGTACTGGATTTTAAAAGGATGCTCACGCTGATCAGTTCTTTACAGGGTATGTAATTTAAGCTGAAGACAACAAATTCCAGCATCTCAAAGTACTTGGTCTGCACTTCTGGAAGTTTAGAAATTTTCTCTGCAAACTGAGACAGTGTGTGCTGTGATTCCAAAATGAAGTAGTTGGCATTGTCCGCCATATAAATATTTGTGATGGCATCAAGAATGATTTGTGCTAGATAGTTGGTTTTTGCTTTCAAAAATGCATTCTGGAGGACGGCGAACGCTTGAATATTCCTCACACTGTGACCTAAATTAGGAAACAGAGACAGATGCAAGGAAAAAAAAAAGAGAGAAAAATTTTAATAATCATAAATAATGTGAATAATGATGCATGCATTTTCATCAGCATGAATAAAATAACAGCACGTCACCTACAATAATATATATCATATTAAAACAGACTTTTCAAAAAGCCTTTGCACGCTCAATTATACTGCAAGCTCTATGACCTAGTCTTGTTAACACAACATTTTCATCACACAACATTTTCAAGTGCAGGATAAGGATAAGGAGCAGCATGATGCTCTCTCTAACGCAGGCTAAGGGTTGGTGAGTAGCAGAAGGAACATCAGAATCAAGCTGGTGTGTTTTTTTTAAAAGCATGCAACAAGCTACAGCCCTGATGACAAACAACATAGACTATGTCATCTAGCTAGCCCATTATCAAACATATCGCAGCAACAGTGGAGTGCTCTGTATTCCCTAGTAGAGGAGACAGGCTGTGTTTAGAGTAACAGGCCTCTGGTTCCCCTCATTTAACAGAGCAATAAGCAATGAAAAAGCCTCATCAGCTGGGTTAAAGCTAAACAACATGCCTAGGCTCTGGATTATCCTCTTCCTTCTCCTCTTAGGAAAAGATCTATGGAAGGGACAGAAGAAATTCTGCAGGGCTGAACCCGGTCAGAGAGAGCAAGTTGCTTTCACACACACGACCTAACAACCGTTCTGCTTCAAGCTGAAATGCTTTCAATACAGCACAGGAGCAGGTGTCAGGATATGAAAGGATAGAAAGCCCATAAATCCTTCCAATTCTCTGTTTCAAAAGGAGTGCACATGATGTGGCATTGCTCATTCAGGCAAGAAGTTCCTTTTAGTTGTATACCCCTAACATCTCTAAGGCTTGCAGAGTTCTTTCCTGTCAATATCCTTTTAGACTAGATGTTGCTCTAACACTCTTATGAAAGAGCAGAAAATATTCGTGTCACGTTAATGCAGCAAGCAGTTCATCAGCTAGGTAAGGTTATGGGTGCTTCAGTACTTGCTGCGCAATGCAATCCATCACATCAAAGGATTTGGGGCTTTGTGCCAAAAAGCCCCAAAACAGGAAAGCTCTGTGTATTGTTTCTAGATATACACCTGAGAACAAGAGGCGGCGGGGGGAGGTGGAAAAAAAAATCAATAAAAATCTTTTTAAAAGAGCAAACATTTATTAAGATGTTATAAGAGAAATACCTTAGATGCTCGAACAGGGAGGCTGAGTTTTCAAACAAGCCAAAAGCAAATGAATGACCCAATTTCAAAATGTTTCATAAAAAAAGAACTCTGATTTATGACCTACACTCCGGGGAATGACACTTGCTTCAGTTTCCGTAAACTAAGATAACTGATTTAAAAACAAATTACAATTATTTTGGTGTCAAGCATCATTCTTTTCCACTCCAGCATTTCTTTCTAAGAAACTGCCCTGAAAACAATGTGTACACATTTCATGCACTCAGAGCATGGCGGTGTTACATTGCAAGTCACATTAACTTGTTCCTATCTCAGTTGTTTTACATACTTGCTTTAAAATTAAGTATGTTGAAGAGTGGATTTAGAGCTTATTAAACATGACAGAGAACAGAGGCAGTGACAGAGACAACTATTAACATTCTAATTATGTATAAACTGTTGTTTCAGGCAACCAGGCAGATTAATAAATTATCTTTGATTCTTATAAGAACCTCTGTTGAAACCAAATCTTACCCAGCTCTTCAGAGTTCAAAGGGGAAGATTCAAGTAAAATCAATGAAAGCATGATAATATGTTCTCTTTAAAAAGCTGACTTGTCAATAGAATGGAAATGTAGGTAAAAAGATCTCAGAGATGCTATTGCCAGTACCAGAAAATTAAATCTAAATTGTCTTTGGGATAGTCCAACAGACATAAGTTTTCTAGTGCGATTTTATCAGCAAAGCCACTGGGCTTGAGAAAAAATGTAGCACGTTATTACCAGAGCATGAAGAAAAACTCTAGATATGACCATCGCCCTCTTTCCCTATTTAGGATAAAAAAACAAATTCCTATGATCTCTGAACTCTCTAAATACCAGGGAAAGGAAGCTCTGGTTCAAAGAGCTGAGACATGCAAGAGAAACAACATGAGAGCAAAGGCAGGAGCCACTGAAGCTCTGAGTGAAAGCTCTGAACATGGCCTGTGATGCTGGGAGAGGCGGGAGAGCGGTGCAGAGGGGCTAAGGGAACAGCGCACTCACCTTTGCCTGCAGGCTGGGGGACTGCGAAGCCAGGGAGCAGAAAAGGGACCCCTGTGGCAACAGCAGCTGGTTTCAATTCATTGACGCCATACGTGGTCAAGGAAGTTATCAAATTCACCAAATCCTTCAGAGCGTCCTTAGATTCGGCTTCTTTTGCCTGTTCTAACCTAAAGAAAAAACAGCAGGGCGTATTAGCACAAGCAAATTTCAACTCAAATTGCTTTAAGCAGACATTTGATTTGCTCTGCTAATTTACACAATATGTATTAAGTGAACCAGAGTGCCCTAAGCTTGAAGTATTTTAGGTGTTCTCCATTCACATTCCTACCATTAAATCAGTCAAACAGAATTTGATTTAAGGTAGTGTATAATTTTATATGCCATTAAAAATTTACCTAATAAAATAAATTTCCCTAATAAAATTTCCCTGCCATGAACTCAATAGACTGCTCAAAACCAGTGCACATCCTAAAATCACTCTAAAACTCCTCTTAAAAACTGAAGCTATCTGATAGAAAAATGCCTCAATGGTCTGTCATTAAATAAATCCATAATTCCCTTGCCAGATTACAGCTGCCAGCTTGAGAATTAATACTCTGTGTTACTGAAAAGGTATTGTAGCAGCAACGTAACACCTGCACAAATCTGATAATGGAAATTCCTAGCAAAATGGTATCAGAAAGAATGACAAAACGAATTACTCAAATACAGATTCTTCACTTGTCATTCTGCATTACCAGCTGCAAAGCCTCTCTGTGACTTTATTCCCAGTGTCCACAGTTCATATCCATATAGGATATGAATAATCCTTACAACAGTACTAAATATATGAAAAACAGTCTTGGTCAGTGATTCTCAGTCAAAACATAACCAGAGAGAAGACATCACTATTGGCAGTCACTGATCAATATGTGGGCTTACCCAAAAGCCTGCTTCTTGGAAACAAACTATGGGTCAGTTTGAAGGTCAAAAATCAAACAGGTATTTCAGCAATTTTAGCTCAAAAGAAAATCTCAGGGAAAATTATTCAGAAATTTAGTATTTCAAATGCAACAACTATGCTTGATCTCCATTTCACACAAAGAAACCAAAGAAAGAAAAAAAAAATCCTGGATGCTCAGAAACAAGTTATATAGAAAATAATGGGAATGGAAAATTTAGCCCAAATATTGGGGTTCCAAAGCCTAGGACCTTCCACTGCTGTAACAGTGGACAAGCTGTAAGACCCTAGATAAGCTCTACAATCACAGACTTTACTTCCACACTTCGCTCTTAGTTACTTCCACACGTTTTGCTGTATTTGAACAGCAGCACAAGCTTCCTCAGAAGTTCAAATACGAAGAATCCAAACAGATGGAGTATAGACTTAAAGCAGTAGCTGTACCATCTTGTTCAATTTCTAACAGCAAATGTTTTTAAGCGTTTGCTTTCTTAGCAGCACTTAGTGATACAGTAGTACCACTTAAAAAAAGAAGGGAAAAAACGTTTCATAAGTGGTGAAGAGGATACAATTTTGCTTTTTGATCCCATCTTCAGTCCATAGCAACCTATAGGCATTTATTAATTAATTGCTCATTTATTTCCAATCTATTCACCTCTTCTTTATTAAGTAAACCATTCAGCAAAAGCTAGCAGTGATCTGTTGGCACTTTTTGAAGCCACTTTGCATACCTGAGCAAGAGGTCACAGAGGAAGTTGTATCCTTGCCATATTCTAAAATCATCCAGTAGCGTTTGTGATACATCGCTGGAATCTTTGAGAAAACAGGAAAGCCCAGCAAACATTTCAACTATTTCTAGAGGAGAAAGGTCATCAGACTGCTGCATGTTCTGAACACACGTGGACAAACATTCTTTTTCTGAAAGGAATTGTGATTAGGAAATTTAAGATTTTACTCTCATTGAGCACAGGAAAAAATAGTAAACACGGTGATAAAATAAGTTACTTATAAATGTCTTTTTTTTTCCTTTTTCAATCATTGTAGACTGCCAAAAATTGCGATAATGAAGCTAGCTCATTTAAACTGATGTTAAAACTGCATATGCTTTTAGACTATCCTACAATTTAAAAGCACTCAGTGTAACATAGGAAACAGATTCTGCCAAGTTTTGTAATCTCAAAAACCTAAATACCCATGTGATTTTAAAATCAAACTGCAAATCACTGGTGGCTGCATCAGTCTGACCTGGTCTCCCCATCCAAAATGAAAAACGTCTGGGAAAAGAGTGTTCTTTGAGCATACCAGAATTAGCTCTCCCTGGTTTGCTTAATGCACCAGTATTTACTACAGGGCAGCAGCTTTTACGAGCTTCTAATAGCTCCAAATGCGTCAGCAGAACACGCGGAGCTGGTTCCTTTTCCTGTGGCTTCCGCAGATGTCCCCATACTTTTGTTGCCAACCACAGTGGTGCCTACACAAGCAGCTGGAAGTGAAACGCAGAGAGGTGCTTTGCCCCTGGGGCAGGGGCTGCTGCTGCTAACTCAAATGCAGGACAGGAAATCAGAAATTATCCTTAAGAATTCATGCTATCAGCAAAAATCACATCTTATGCACCTTTCCAACGAGTGCTTTTCAATCCAGGCAGTTACTAATGTTGCCAAGAAAGGAGTGGGTAGAAAGCCTTTCTTCTTGGTTAGAAAAAGCTTCACGCCAAAATGTCACAGGAAACCATGTTCTACAATGGTAAATTGAAATACGGAAGAATGAAGCTCACTACAGACACCTCATATGCCATGAGTACTCTGAAATGTTACCAGTACAGAAATACCTACACATCTAAAAAAAGACCTTGTTAATCCTTCTTAGACGTATTCATGCCTACTTTATAAATAATAATAATAAAAAATAACCTACAAAGGAAAAAAAAAATCAGCTACAATCAATAAACAGTATTTGAGGAAGACACACATACCATGGATGTATTTGACTACATTGACGCTAAGGCCGTGACGCGATATGGTCATTAGTACCTCCCCCGCGCTCTTCCTCCAAGGCAGATTATAGGGAGGGCACCAGGAGGTTATTGCACTGAATAAAAGCTGGAGATCATCCTTTTGAGCCAGTTCTTCCGCCGGAGACACAAAACTGCACAATTTTACTAAGATCTGAAAGAATAAGTCATTAAATATCTAACATTAACACTCCCTTCATTAGTATTTATGTACTTACAACAGAGAGTCAACAGAACCAAGATTTAAAAAAGAAACACACCAGCCAACAGGCAAGTGGGGACATTTTCATATGCTGACACTTTCTGGGCAGATACTCTAGCTAGTAATTGAGGGAACGACTCTCATCTTCATTTTTATAGAGCTGATATCAAAACACCTCACAAATGTTGTGTTTTCAAACCTAAAGTTTGAAGGGCATCTATCCTTTTCCAACGGTAGTTTCCAAGCTCCTTCCAACAAGGCTGATCAAGAACATGTGTGGGAAATTCTTTATAACAAGAGCTCTGTTGAAAACCTCAGAAAGCTGAGGCCGCTCAGATGAAGCCTCTGGTCTCCCTGGCAAATCTGCACGTACAGAAACACCTTCAATTACTCTTTAACTGAAGCAAATTACTCGGAGGGGAAACTGTAATAGTGTCAGCAAGCTAAGCTGGTTGATTTCCTACTTAAAGGAGAAAAAAAATAATGGAGATAGGAATTTAACTTAATCCATCTCAGCAGAAGACAGCAGTTTGTGAAGAATCAAACAAGAGTAAAATACAGCACAGAGATAAAATTTCTGGAGATTTCTCTCACAAAGCCTTTGCATTCTCTTTTGATATTTTATAACCCATTTTACCTTTCTTACCTGTACAAATACTTTCTGTAGCAGTGCTCGCCGCTCTGCGAGAGGTAGCTCATTCTGTGCTCCCCCAACTACCTCAGGCACATGTGGAAGGTCAAAAAACAGATATAGACATTTTACAAGTGTGGAAGGCACTGACATTGTAGTCATGCAGTCCACAGTTTTCTGGAAAGAAAAAAACAAAGGAAAAAACTCTTTCAGTATATTAATATTTTGAGAAAGTCACACTCATGTAATAGTTTGCTCAAATATTAGGAGAAGTAAAGAGCAAAGTAGAAGAAAATATGAAAACATCAGTGGGAAGAAAAGGCAAATTGGGGTGGATATGAACACACATGACATGGTGAGATATAAAGGCAGATCAGAGCAGTTCACTATCTTGGTTCATTGGACTCCTCCCACATTTTTTTCCCAAGCTCTCAATCAAAACTAACCTGTCCTGATGAAGCTAGTAAATTAATTGTCGTGAGCAGCATCCAACCTCTACTTGCTTCTTCACTTTGATTGACCTCCAGAAACTGGACTATGGCACGACTTGCGGCCTCTGTAAGGGGAAAAACGAAAAGAGAAAACAAACAAAATTTTGAAAAATTGCAGTGTGCAAAAATACACATGTTCTCAGCAGTCCAAACACTTAGCATGAACTCAGCTCCACCTCCATACTTGAAAACAGCGCTAGGTTCAGGCCTCCAGCCTCCAGCAGCACTCTTCGATACTCTTCCACATGCATTTGCAATTAATGAGATCACCAAAAATACATTTTTAGGTCATGTGCCATATTTTAACCCAGTAGGCATACTGCAATTACATGCAGCAATCTTCACTGAGTATTGCAGCCCTATCAAACATGATGCACCCTTTTCCAGATGCAGGAAACGACCACCGCTTATTGGTTTCAGCGGGAAAAATCCCATATTTTCTGGAAGGAGAGGTACAAAAACACAAAAGGAATAAGAGGCAGGAACAGAAAAAAGAAGAGTTAAGAGGAAGACAACAATCACCACATCCCCACCTTACATTTTTTAAAAGATTTAAAAGCAAGCAAATCATGGCTAAATATTATGCTCAAGTGATTGTTTAGAAAGTAAAATGGACATGCTAGAGCCAAGGTCCTTATCTTAGAATTCTATGTAAAATGCCAGAATTCATGGTAAAAACTGCTTTTCCAAGCATGTCTAGAGCCCAGTCAGCCCATATTAGGTGCCACTTAGCAGACTCCTTCTTTCTCCACTGAACATAGACCAAGAGAGGAAATTAGTGCCCAACTCTAAGCACGCAAAACAGTGCCAAATAGGGTATGGAGAGCCTCCCGTGGGCATGTTTGCAAAGAGCACTTGTGGAACACAGGTTTTTTTAGTCATTTTTCAAAAGTGAGCCTCAGAGGTTAAGTATGCACTTCTAAAAACGTTATTGGGCTGCTGGCATCATAAACGGCATAGCAGTCGAACACTATAAATAACCACTTCAAAACTGTCAGTCTTAATTAAACATTATCTAAAACACAGGCAGAATTTTCAGCGCAGGAAGAAACTCTCTTGCCGTCTGCCCTGAGCAAATTTGAGTGCACTACAGTTCACAATTCATCCCTGTCATCGATACTGGCCTTATCTTGATTTCTTCTACTTTTGTCTTGTGCTCCAGCAACCTTTCAGGGTTGGCGTATGGGAGGTTGCATCCCATCCATACCTCCTTAGCCCTTTAAGCTCTGCAGAAGTCACCTAACCAAGCCAGAAGATAGGAGCAGTTCCAGTTGCCTCGCTAGTAAGAGAGAAATATCAACCCAAACTGAGATGACGAAGTCCTCCTTGGCCCTGGATCCTAAACAGCGCAGTGCTGTCCTCACAGATGGGAGAGAAAAAGCAGCGGATGCTTCCGCACGATGCAATGAGGCAAAAAACAGGGAGCTGCTCATAGATAAGCCACTCAGCGGGGCCTGAGTTTAGCCCCACTAGCACCACTGAGAAAAGAAATGGTTTTCTAGGATCTCTTGGCAAGAGCAGTGTTGAGCCAAAACACTGCACTCCCCTTATCGAGGGCTTATCGACGGTATCAGCAAGAGGACAAGTTCCCAATATGCCAAAAGAGATAGAAACCTTCTCCTGGGTACCACTTAGGTCATACATCCAGTTTTTCATTATCCCAAACTTCGTTATGGCATAAATATGGCCTGAAAAGCCACTTATTTGGAGAGGTTAAGACCATTTCTTGAATTGCTACCCACAATTAACCCAAATGCACGTTACGCTTGAACAGGAAAGCAAACCCATGTTAAACTCAGCATAAAAGTGGCTCTGCTGATGCATGACAGAGCTAAACCACAGTGAAAACAAAAAATAAAAACCCACCATGAGATCAAGGGAATTTTGAAATGGACGAAATGAAGACAGACATTGTGAGGTGCAAAATGCAAATCAAAAGCACTTGATGTGGTTTTCTGCAGTGGTTAGACACGATGAAGATAAGCATCACTTTGGTCTCCCAAAGTGGTTTTAAACTGTGATAACAAGAGTCTTTCAACATTTCCGTTCAAGAAATGTGCAAGAAGCAGTTTTAGTAATTCAGTGAAATTAAGAAGAAAGAAAAAAAAAAAAGGGTAGAAGCAATAAATGGAAAAGTTATTTATGAAGGAAAGGAAGGATAAGCTTCATAGTCTAGAACTACAGTAAAATAAATACATTCAGCTTGAAGTATTGAATACTGTGACAATTTCACTCAGAGTGTCACAAACATGAAACGAAATGTTGCCTGAAATCAATAAGGTGGGACAAAACAGAGCTGAATTTAAAAGGTACCTAAAACAGTGATACCAGATAACAGTGCATGTGCCCATCATATACAAATGTGCAAGAAGCAGTTTTAGTAATTCAGTGAAATTAAGAAGAAAGAAAAAAAAAAGGCAAAAAAAAAAAGAAAGAAATTCCCAGCTTTTAATTTTGACTTTCTTCTTTTTTAGTACTCTAAGGGTACGTTTGTATAAAAGAAACAACTACATTGAAACAGTAGTCGAGCACAAAGCTACAAGTGCAATATTAAGTGACTACTGATGATAGGAGGCTGGCACCGTAATTCCTGAATCATGAAATACTGTTCTGAGAAAACTACTACAGTTTGCCAAGAATAACCGAGATGTGTCATAGCTACTGGCACAAATATTCAAAAGCCTGATGAAAAAAGTCACACTGTGCTCCATTAAAAGACAGAAAAGAAAAAAAAAAAAACACTTTGTGTACCATGTATCATAGCACATTCCCAAATATAAAATACTGCTGACAAGTTTAATGCTTTGCAGATAAAATGTAAATGTTCAAAGGTTTTTTTTTCCCCCCACGTCAACTGCTTAAAGTCAATTGCTGATAACATTTGCAGGAAAAGCTTCTCTCTAAAACTTTTAAAAACATATGAGGAGATGTGATTACATGTTAATAGGCAATCATCATTTTTCACAGTATACAAAATGAATACAATCTTAGCAAAAACAGAGAGTTCATTCCATATATACAATGTTACATCTCTAAAAGCTTAGAGACTTGAAACTTCCTCTGGTATCTGAATGAGAAATTGTGGTTTTCTGTGTCTACATGTGTTTTTTCTTTTTCCCAGCTCTACCAAAATTATTCTTAGCCACCTCAGAAGCTGTTCTTTCAAACATAAGAGCACTCTTATAGACCATTTCTTCCCCCAAATACGACAAGAAGAATAGCACAACAAATCTAATATCAGGTAACATAAAATTTCATGGCAGCAAAGGTGTAACGAGCTTCCCAGGCCTCCCCAAAAGGAAGAGCTAATTCTCTGCCTTAACTTGGTCTTTCATGTTGTAATCTAAAGCGTGCAGGGTTCCTATGGTATTGAAATTTATATGCTATGGTAGTTAACATACAGAGAGGTTGAGTTAGATAAGCACTGGGTCTCCCCAGTGAACACCCTTCTATTTAGCAAACCAAGGCACTGGCTTGTAAGACACAATGCATTGTTATTCAGCATATACTAAGAATTAAAATAAAACATGATTCACACGAGGTTAAAGTAATTAGACAAGGGGCATAAATTGGGCTTAGATGTAACAGAAACCCATTCTCTGGCTTGAACAAGCTGCAGAGGTTCACCCAGCAGCTCTCCATTAATTCGGGTTTTCACATGGTATTGTGAATCAGAAGAAAACAGGAACTGTATTAATTCACACACAGCTGTGAAAACTGCATGGTAATCCACCATTTAGTTTTTCTTAGCATTTTCCAAGCAGTATTTTAAGCCAGCATGGTCTCAAAGCAAGCTGTTATTAACATTTATCAGGAGGAAGGAGAAATTGCCGACTTTCATGAGCACATGCAGACTGCCAAAGTACATTTGGTTAAATCAGGTTTATTCTTCCTTTATTCACTCCCTTAAGATGTTCTCTGTGCATCAATTTATCTCACATTTCACAGCTTTGAGTGAGAAAATGGGATAAATTTAAAACCTTTGAGAAATAATACCATTGTAATGCAAGAGGTATTTCACTTTTTTCTTAAATAGCCTAAGTTGGATAATGGATAAACTTTTAGTCCTGTTCTTGCAGGCAGACTTTTCATTAATAGCACATCTGCACCCCTCCAGATCTTGAAGCAGAAGACACACAAAATAAGTAATTATCCAATTTCCCTATTGTACAGAAGCACTTTCTGTAACAAACCGATAGCGATAAAGCATGTACCATTGAGGAGTATAATTAATCATCTAGTAATGAAAAGCTATTATGCATTTTCAGTCTTTCTGCACTTCAATCCGCCAATAATCACAGTATTTTGAAGTTAAAAACAAAAGAATAAGTTGGGTAGCAAAATTACTTGACACTAGTGACAGACAAAGATTAACAGTTCACTGATAAACGCACAGAAGGTGACACAAGACATTACTCATGTTATAATGGGATGTAAAGAAGCTGGAGAAGGAAGGTTTCCCCCCACCGATACCTCATGCTCTCCTTTTGGGAGTCCAAGGGTGATTACCATTATTCACCACACTATATATTAAATCTTGATCTACTTTTTAAAATTTGGTTAAGGCCTGTTGGCTGAACAGACAATTCTATGCGCTGGCATTAAAATGGAAATAATTTCTGCAAAAGTATATGATAAAGTTTAAAAGTAATTAAAATTCTGACAAAAACCCCAATATAACCCTCAAATATATATAACTCTCAAAGTCCCAATATTCTACAGATGCTGGAACTCAATAACCCACAAAGCCTAGCAATTTCATCAAAATAGAAGGCAGAATAAAAATTTTAAGTGAACCTGAAGTTTGCAAGTTGTATTTTTTTTTTTTTTTAATACTAGGGGAAAAATGTTGGAGGGATGAACACTGAACTACCTTGGAGCAATTAGACAGAGACATAGCTGAAGTAATAAATACCTAAACACGTAAACAAGATGCCACAAGGCATCAAATTTTCCTCAGGAAAAGAAGTTCAGATGAACACCTCCTGCAGCCATCACTGCTAACTGGATGTTCCTTTCCCTAAATACTTAGTGAAAAAGCTATTTTACTCTTATTTACCCACAGAGAACAGGCTTTGTCTACTCTTTCTGATTAGCCATCTGGAGTGCTCTGCTGTTATTCACTCTACTGGAAATGGAAAGAAAACGTAATTGGCACAGTTTGTGACTCCTGACTTAACATGTAACAATTTGTCTTTTCCAGCTCAGTATTTCCTTATTTACCACCAGATCCAAAACGTGAACATAACTGAGAGCTAAAAAATATTTACAAGACAAAAATATGCTATTATTCGGAAGTGCTACTCCTTCCATATAACAATACTCTGGGAAGGCTAATGAAAAATGCTTTCTCAGCTCACCATCATGCAAGGCAGGTTTTGCCACATTAAAGGTTCAAGAAAGAACCCATCTCCTGCTGACATTTTGTAAACAGACCAGAAGAGCTATCCAGTAACTCATCCTAAGTTTAAGGTTTGGGCCCCAATGTAAGGCTTTTTGCACTTTCCATCTTCTTATTTGTAGCTGTGCCTGCACTAAAGCAAAATGCTCACATTCCAAAAATGCGCATACCTGAGCAACAGCACAACCTGCGGAGGAAACAGCTTGTTTCCCTCTCTCTCACTGCACATAACATCTCTGGTACGAGGATTTGAGTTGCGGTGCCTGTGGACAGCAATCCTACTGTAGGACCCCAAATCTGCCCCCGAGACTCAGACCGCGCTTGGTACCTGTGGACTTATTTGATGCTCTCCGACGAATCTCCGTCACCATCAGTCGTGACACTTGGGTAGTAAACTGCAGGAGGTCAGAAAATTTTTCTGTCATTGTACTTGGAGGAGCATTTCCAAACACCTAGAAACAAGAGAAAAATATGTACATTTAAAAATATATATCAGCTGAGAAAGAATGAAAAAGACTGGCAAGCAGAACTTCTCTGCTAAGAATTTTTTTTTTTTTAAAGTGTCAATGCCCCAAAGCCTCACAAGTCCTAGGCACCCCAAAGGCCATTTCTTTCTTGAGATCCTCCTTAACAACAGCAATAGTTACTGATTTTTTTAAAAAATTTTGCTTTCCTGCTTCCTCAATGCTACCCTTATAATTTAAAAAAATGTAAGAGTATTTCCTAAAAACATTGCATTTACACATAGTGAGTTTCTTTTATGATTATAAGTACCTTAAATAATTGTCATTTAATTCCAGTAACATAATTCTTCATGACTAAATATTGAATTTGATCAGTAAATAAATCATTTAAGCTGAAATACATTTAAAAATGAGAAATTCTTTAAGTCTGTGGTACTGCGTAACTTATAGTACAGGTCATTCTCTCAAAATGCATTAGATGACTTTTTAAAAAATGTACTTTCCATGCAAGACTCTACTCAAAGTCGTCTCCAACCACATACCTAACAGCCTCTTTCTACTAAAATGGTCTTCTTAAATCCACAATGTTAGATGTTGCTTAATAAGTGAAGCATGCAAACCAAAAACTCAACTTTAAGTAGTCATTTCTCAAACTCTAGAATCATCACTTGCGTCAGTGCTGAATAAACCAACATAGGCTGAACAGTTGACTGATCTCAACACTTTTCTGTCTGAATCTTTTTTTTTCCTCTTGCGGCTAATTGCATAACCTGCAGGAATGTCCCTGACAAGCCAGGATGTGCAATAGCTTACAATATTTTTCTGACAAAATTTCAGTTCAACTCCTTATGTTTGCATCTTAGGACAAGGACACAATGTACAGCAGCACAAATCATCTGGATGCTCCAGCTGTTTTAGCCTCCTTTGCTTCCTCTGCATCACCTGAGGCTTAGTAATGTAGCCAAAATATCAATACACTTGGCCGAGGTCATCCTTAAGCCTGCACACCATCAGGGAAAATCACAGTATCAGCCAGAGATGCAAGATATTTGGAGTATTGAGTTACCAGGGAACTTCAATATTATTGAAAGAAACGAAAAAGCTGGAGATTCAGAGTAACCTGATTTTAATTTGACCCACTCCCTTCCCTCAGTATTAATTGCTCTGGTGCATTATAGAATAGCCAAAAGAGTCTCCACTCTTCTAGGCAGTCTAAGAAAAACACTTTGCTGGGATTACCAATTAAGTATTATTCTCCCATATGGAGAAGCCCCAGATTCCCCTAAATGGTTCCCGAGAACAGGGCTATTTCCTGTCCTAAGGTGGCCTCAAAGTGCTATTAGACTGCAGGAAATGTGGGCAGCAAAAAATTGCAGTGAATGGCAAATGAGGTGAACTGGTTGTGACTTTTTTCTCTCAAGTATTAAGTTTGCACTATGTAACACAAGTGTCTGAATTAGTATTTTGGCATATACTTTGATTAAAGGCTCTGAATTAATAATAATAATAACAATAAATAAAAACAGTAATAAATCATCTTTTAAGAAGGCAAAGCATAGTTCTTGCAAGAAAACTTAAAAACTTGCTTTGAGGCCACTTATTCAAAAAATCATCCTCATCTCATCTACTTTTTGGTATCGCCAAAGCTTTACTACAGCCTGGTAATAAAGTGCAGCAAGCTGCCATGCTGCTGCGAGGAACAGTGTTCACAGGGCTCGCAGAGCTCTGAGGGAGTCTCTGGAATGCTTTTCCAGAGGGCAACTCTTTTGTGAGTGATGTGCTGATTTAGCTTTTTATTAATACGTGAGTCATCCTTTCATAAGCTTTTCCCAACAAAGCAGAGGGAGAAATTCCCTGCAAACTCATTCATTGCTGTAAGCAACAAGATGCTTCGAACTCTGGAGTATTCGGGATGTGCTATATCTATAAACAGAAATAAGTTACAGGTGCTTTAGCTGCTCTGGGTTTACTGATTGATAATTCTAAAAAAGAAAAAAAAACTTGGAAAAAATCTGGAACTGCTATTCATACAAAATTTTGAGTAACTTTCAGACCAAAAAAAAAAAATCATCAGTCATACAAGGTTAAACAACAGAGCAAGGAAAATTGTCATATTTAAAATTGACAGATACAGAAAATATTCTTATGGGTTATTTGAAGCTTGTGTTTATCTTACTCATATGCCAAGTACATTCATAGCAGTTGGTTATGTAGGATGCGAAGGAGGTTTTTTTTTTTTTTTAAATATGTATTTCAAAATCATTTTAAATGTTTTAAACAAAAGTATTTCTCACAGCTTTCCCAGAAGTAAATCTCATTGTACAGCTCCTGTCTTTTACGACAGGCCAAAAGGTGAGATGTGGGTTCCTTTTGTAAAAAACATCACTTAGAAACCTGTTTGTATGATCAAAATAGTGTACATTCAGTAAACTGACACTTCTTTCAAAACTATTGCCTGGTTTTCATACCCTTCCCACTCCACCCACTCACCAAAGGTTCCTATAAGCTAGTTCCTTCTTTACAGACACAAAAAAATCTTGATCATAAAAATAAACAAGTCAGGTCCCTAGAGGCCTAAGAATTAGACCTTTGTCCTACACAAGAAAAAGTCTCAAGCTTCCTGTTAAACATGCGCAGCTCCTTCTTTCAACAGCTCCTGACTCCATATACAACATATTTCGCAGTCTATGTCAAGATGCAAAACAAAACTTTGGTCTGAGTTCCCTAGTTCACTTGGAGTTTTCTCCTCATAACACAGATATCCATTAAATTAACACAATGTTTTTAAAGTGCACCACCATGGACTCCACTGGAGGCAGTAACCCAGAAAGTAGTTACCTCACTTAAACCTGTAAAACAGAATGTGCAACTGCAATGAAATGAGAGATTCGGTGACTTACTTCGAATTATTGGAATCAAGGAGCACATTTGAAAAATGAGAAAATTTCAAAAAAGAAGGCCTGACTTGCATTTCCTTTCAGTTAAAGTAGGTCTTCTGAGGTGACTTTCCTCTCTGATTCAGGGTGAATCCAGATTTACTAGACCTCCCACTAAAAATTTCACACAAAATTCTTTCAAAAGTGAAATATTCACCCTTTCCTATTTTTTATTCCAATCAGTTTCTGAGTGTGTCTTTGCAGAGTTGCCCTACAATGCTAGAAAGACTGTTCCAAAACAGTTTGTAGCATATACAGTTTATACTCTAGAAAACCAAAGCTGTTTAAACCTAGGAAGTCACTGAGAGATTTACACGTAAAGCTCCAGAATAAGGTGGCATGAATTAGGCACACAGCAAAAACACACAAGTAGCAAATGGATGCAAAAAGCGAGGCAATAAATAGCTGAAACTGCAATTGCTTAGTGTCCTGATCTCAGGAAGACAAAATGCATTTGTATGAAAGGCAAGGGAAAAAAATCCCCCTATAATAGAGGGGATAAGATCTGACTGACCAAGAAGAATCCATTTTGTTTGTGGTAAGCTACATAATTTGGGGAGAAGTGATAAAGATTATCAGTGGCTGCAGAGAAAGGAAGTGAAAGAGCACAGATAATACCTTTTTTTGTCACCAGGCCAGCATAAGATTCAGATTTAGAGAGGCTGGAAGCCAAAAAGACAACATCTGGCAACAGCCTATGTTTGTTGCAAAAACAACAGTTCCCAGAATGTCACAGATTAAAAATAGCCAGACTTTGAGAACGGTGATGTTAAAAATTAAAATCAGGAAGCAAGAGAGGAGAGGGAGAGAGAAAACCACAGATAATACCCAAAAAGACAAATATTAGGCAAGAACAGAAGTACAGGCGTCTTCAGCACAGAGTTCACCTGAGGAAAAGAAGGAAACAAAAGGTTCTCCAGGGCTTGGAGAAGGAAAAGAGCTCATCGACAAAATGAGATGATATATGAACAGTGAAAGAGAGATAAGGAGAATCTTTGGAAGCAAAAAACATGAAAACAAAGAGGGAAATGGGTTTTAGGAGAAAAGAGCACTCGGCTAAGTAGTCAAGATATGTTTCAACAGGTACAAATGGCAAGTAGCACACATCTCTTCAAGGAATCCAAATGGTACCCGAGACTACATAGGCAAGTGCTGATTTTCAGGGAGCAGAAAGAAAACTTGGGGTTGCTCTTTTTTGTTTGTTTTGTTTTGACTTTTTGGAATGCTAGAAAAAATAACACTCTGAAAGACAGTGAGCGGGAACAAACAGTGCAAAGACATTGTGACAACTATAATTAGGCTTGAACAGAGTCAACGGAGGGACAAAGAATTAGGACTAAGCCAGACACTGGCATAAAGGGGAAAAAAAATAGCAAAAAAAGGAAAAAAGAGGGGAGAAGCAATGGAAAAAAATAAGAAGCGATCGTTTTCATCTTTAAATCCCTGTCAGAGCCTAGGAAAAGGTGCTGTACATGAACAGGACGTGCAGTGCTGCAGTAGTTTCTCTCAAAACCAGGTATAGCATCAATCACAATTTCCACAGATACAGTGCTACAGAAATTGAATCATTGCAAGGGCCAGGAAAGAACTACTTCCCTCCTTGTGGTTTACAACCAGCTGCCTACATGAGTACGGTGGGTACATTCCCTTTCGGAACCATCAGCTCCATGTAACCACCAGGGGGAGAATTCCAAGCATAAGTGCATCAAAATAATACTCGCCAGCTCAGGCCCAGATTAAGATTCCACTAGGCTAATTTGTAAAATCAAATTAAGAAAGCCCATGACTAAAAGGCATATAATTCAAGCAGATAAATTAAAGAGGAGGCAGGACAACCGAGCTTACTGCCCCCAGACTTATACAACAGGCTACCCGTAGAACTAGGAATAAGACCTAGGGCAACAAAATGAGATTTATGGGGTACATCCACTAAAGCATGCTATCCAGTAGGCTGAAAATCCTATTAATACTATGCATTGACTAGGATTAATTTTTCTATACAGCTTGTAACCAGTTCAATGTATAACATCATCAAAAGCAATGAATTCAAGAAAATATCAAACTAAAGGGGAAGTTGAATTTGTTTTCTTATCAAATTTCTGCACTTTAGTTTATTGATGATTCCAGGCCTCCACAGCAGTACATACAGACTTGACAAAACCAAACAGCTTCATGAACAGGCACTGTGGTAACAGTAGTAATAATAATAAAAAAAAAACTACATATATGCCTAGATATCTATTTCTCAAGATACTTCTCAAGCTTTCATTTATGAGATTTTCCTTTATGGGCTCCTCAAAAATCCCTCTTATCCAAGAAGAGGGGGACTAACACTCAACATATGTGGCAAAAGGGCTAGGCTACAAGGACAATCAGAATAAAGAATTTATCACAAGAGAAAATTAAAATAGTTCTGCCTGTGTAGCCTGACAAAACACAGTCTGAAAGGAGATATTATGACTGCTGTCTCTAAAAATGTATCTGTGGAGTAAATGCCAAGGAGGAAGAAGAGTTATTTACGCCCAAGGACAGTGCTGGCACACAAACAAAGTGCTATAAACTTGCTATGAATAAATTTAGGTTGGAAATCAGCTCTGAAAGATGAGAATAAAGACTGCAGCAGCAGGGGGACTTTACCCTGGAAAAAGTCTCATGGTGTAAACTCAGTTTTCCACATTCTGGGTATGACTCTATAATAGAAACAAGCTCTGCAAAAAAGCTCTGTGGCAGTCTGCATGCCACTGTAGATTGCACTTCAGAAAAAGTGATAATAGAAGGAAATCTCCAGTGGGGAATTTATCCACTAACACAATGCTGCATGAAAAAAGGGAAAATAAAAGGAAGCCAAAGAAAGAATAACTTCTGTTGTGCAAGAACTGAAGGTCTTGGAGATGCAAAGAAAGCCAAGTCAATTCCAGTAAAGAAATCATCTCTTATGTATGCTCCAGCTTACTCTGTTGAACACCGGCAGCATCATGTAAAGTTTTTCCTCTTGTTCTTTCTGGGTCATGTGCCGCGGAGGATGGCAAAGCTCTGTGAAGAGGCGACGCAGATGCATGAGCCCCAGCGCGTTGTCCTGGGGGCTGCACTCCTCCTGCCGCGGCCGGCCCATGATCCGCTTCACCATATTCATCTTGGCTGTCTTCTGGAAGCGTCCTTCTACCCTGTGCAGAAAGGAAAGCAAGCACCTTGAGCACTGCAGATTCAAACATTATCCCAATATGCTTTAATATATACCTGCATCCCATTCCATACTAAGTATCACACTGAAATTAAGAGCATAGGATCATTTTATGCAATAAAGATTGATTGGTTTGTGCCTGGAAGATTTCAAGCTGGGAACTTGAGAAAGAAATTCATCTGATATCCTTCAGCACACAGCACAATTGACAAGACTTAGAACAGCATAAAATGCTTTGGCATTTTGTATAAGTTACTTTTTGATTTTTTTCAGTGCATATCAATACTCTATCAAATACTAGGGAAAACACTATCTACATATTGCAAGGTATTATCAAAATAATTCTAGAATATACTTGGAAAAATCAAGTACTCTAAAATCAAAACAAAAAGACGTAAAATCAAATCAGACAGGCATGCAAGCTCCCTCAGATGTTTGCTTTGCCATACAAAAACATGCTTAGGGTTTTTTTCCAAGCTTCCCTTTGCAAATCAACTAGGCTACCCAAAGGAGCTATTATTCATCTCACATCTGTTGTCTGGGTTGCAGGATGATCCCTTGGCACAAGGGATGCAAGCACAAGGCTCTTAAAACATCTTGTTGATGTGAAACAATATCTGTATTTAGCCCTATATTACCTTTTTTAAGAGGAACACAGAAAAAAAACTCTGAATTTGAGACCAAAGTCTGTTAAGAAGCATCTCGGAGAAGAACTGTGAGGATCAGAGCAGGTAAAACTCTCAACCAATGCATCCACTTGGAGACTGCAGCAAAAGCGACTACTATCACACTTGTAGGGAAGTAGGAGAACAATTTCAGCTCCATACAGGAGTTCACAGAGATCAATAATGGATTTATAATGGCCACCTTTCCAGGTGGAAAGGCTGTTGAAAAACTGAAGAAGGTCAGTAAGAGCTATAAAATCTATTCAAGAGATTACAGCATGCCTTACAGCTAGGGACTTAAAGAACTTAATCTATTCAAATTATCGAAAACTGACTATGGTCAGTTATCAAAAGGAGAAATGATGATTCCAGAGGTGCTGTGATTACAGTGATGGAGAAAAAACACCACTTACTAAAGAGCTATTAAACCTAGGGAAAAAGTCACAAGGAAAGATAGTGGTTGGGAATTAAAGGCAGAAAACAAACAAACAAAAGATGATCTGCAAACAAGGAATGCATTTTAATTGGGAGAATAACTAACCATCAGTGAGAAGCATTAACTCAAGAGACACCCCCTTTCTATGAACCAAGGCAAAATATCATTTTGGATTATGTATCAAATGCTAATTTTTCTTCACTAAGCTTGTTAATATGCAAGAAAAAAAAAAGGTAATTTATAAAGCCTGATGCTAACAAAGATCTTAGTATGATATTAAAACCAATATATTAAATGAGCAGTCACTTAAAAAGCCAAACTTTTCTCATGTGCAAACCAGAACCTGTCAGCCCATGATGGAAATTCTCATTAGCCTTTCACACTTTAAGAGAAAGGAGGTAAAACTGGATAGTTTCTTTTAGTGTATCATTCCTAAGGGATAACACAGGTAACAGACTTTACACTAGGAAGATTCACACAGTTAAAAATGAAACAGCAGAATTCCTGAAGTAATGCCAAAGCTTTTCAGAATATTTCCTTTGACTTAATTCTCCTACTGTGTTTAATAATAAGTAAATTAATCAAAACTCAAAATAGAACATTTTATCAGAGCTAAAAGAGCTAAAAGTTCACCTTTAAGCAGCAGAGAAAAAAGTTATTTTTCATTTTGATAAAATCTTTTAAAGAGCAGCATTTTTATACCTATCAAAAAAGTAGAGAACTTTAAAGACAACATGTTAAATGAGCATTGTAATTGAATTCTCCATTGCTACAGATTTTGCTGCACTAGTGAGTCTTTTTTTATGCCACAACATCCCATGATGGACTTTCAACAAAAAAACACATCCTGGAGTTTGCATTGGTTCAACTACACTAATGGGGTCACAGAACTAAGGATTTTCTTAAAGTTGGAGGAGTCCAGTTAAACACAACATAGTAGGGCCGAGAGAAGAATGGATGCAGTAGCATGTGAATAAAACCCAAATTTGTTTCATTTGATATCTCTTCAAAGCAGCCAAAGGCACTATACAATCAACATATTCCATCTGTATGTTTAATTCAATATGAACTCTAACTCAAGAAAAGCTTCCTAGAAGACGCTGTTTTGGGAAGATCCCATCCTGTGACGCGTTCTCTCCATTGATATGGCTCACAGACACACAGACAGAGTGAAGATGAGACTATGTTATTTGTGATCTGCCCAGCCTTTTCACTATTTTTTTCCCTGTATTCTCAGTCTTCAAAGCCATGTAAAGTCTGCCCTCAATAGTCAAGAGAAATGAAATTTAGGCTGCATAGCTATTTCAAGGTGATTAGATCCCATTCATAGAAGTCATCCAGAACCTTCCTTCTGTCCTGAGGCCAGCATGAGCTCCACATCTCCCAAAATGTTCTCTACACAACTCGAAGGAATTCTCTCAGATTTTACTTCCTCTCATTCACATACAGCAGTTTGTTGTTGTTGCTACTATCACAGTGCAGAACATCCATGGAAAACCAGGGAGGGTAGCAGCAAGTGCCCAAACTCCAGCATTAAGCCCAAATCTTAAAAGTGTGAGAGGGCTTATTCACCATCTAAACTGGGTAAAGCTGCCTTATTTATGAAACTGCGTAACACAATTCACTTATCCTAAGAAAATACTGTAAAGTTTAAGCTCATCCAGTATTAAAATCCTAAAATCTTGGATTAAATTGGTTAGAAACACCGCACTAAGAAGTGCTACAGATAACTGCCAAGTAAACAGATTTGCATAGTGCTACTACTACATCCTACTGAACAGTTTGAATTTGGGTTTTCCTTGATTAGGATTAGGCTTGCACTTAAAAACAATATTGGAAAGTGTCTTTGCTTTTGCTGCTTTTGTTTTTGCAAAAGCTTTAGGCATACTAAGTGATCGGATCTGCTCATTCTTCAGTGACCACGCAAGGTAGGGCTTGAATCCAGTGATCTCCTGAAGGACAAAAATGGCTTATTCAAAGTTTTTAAAAACTCAGAAGGTGAGGAAAACCTGTCTTAAAATGGCTTTTACAGCTTTAATTTGGCCCCACCATATTAAATGGTACTGTATATATTACAGTACTAACTTTAAATATACCCTGACCAGGCTTCTGTCCCCATGGGGCCAAGGCAGACGCCAGCAGCCAGGGCGGATGGTGCTCGCTCCACGTGCGGCTGCTCACCAGGTCATTACGCCGTCACGTCTCCCCACAGGACACTGCACTTTAGCTCCAGAGACCTGGGCCTGAAACCCACCCTGCAAACAGGGCAACGCGTTTCCACAGGGGTTCACCCACCCCGCTCGGTGTTACCACGGGGGCTGTTAGGTGCCCTTGTTCCCACAAAGCTCCGAGGTTGACCCACCCTGCTCGGTGTTACCACAAGGGCTGTTGGGTGCCCTTGTTCCCACAAAGCTCCGGGGTTCATCCACCCTGCTCGGTGTTACCACAAGGGCTGTTGGGTGCACTTGGTCCCACAAAGCTCTCCCAAAAATCTGCCTCATGGAGCGGCTGTGCTGGCAGCCTCGGATTCGCAAGCAAGACACAGGCGGCACCCATGTGGCACGTGAAGAGCAGCCATGCTCAGTAGCCAGGATACCTCGTTTAGGCAACCCTGGAGAGCAGGCAACGCCACATGGCACCTCATATAACTCAACCCCTCCTGCCGCCTCGAGCTGTACCTGTGAGAGAAGTGCTTCCTCCCTGCCCAGCCATCATGTCAACCACCACATTGGCAGTCAGGCAGCCCACTCTCTTCTTCTTTTTTTTTTTTTTTTTTTAAAAAAAAAACTTACTAATAATATCAAGTTATTTTGCAAGAGCAAACAGAGAAAGCGGAAGCTCTGTCACGCAGCATCACACTGTTAGGCACGTGCTTCCTTGGGGAGGGTGGGAACAGCTGGATGCTCCACATCGACCTTTTTTGCCACTGGAACTAAAAAGAGTAACTGGCAGCAGTCGTGGTGAAGAGTTGATTCATTAATTGGTGAAAAAGTTAATTCTACACCTATTATTTCCCTCCACACTACGCCTGTCACTTCTAAGATTTCCTCCCAGATGTAGTTGCTATGAGCACTTCAAAGACAAATATATCTACTTTCTTATTAAAATGGGCTTTGTTGCCTCTTAGAAAGAAAGAGCAATTCTATAGACAAAAACACGAGCAGGGAGGGAAGCGGGGAACAAACCTGCTGTCCCTCTGCCCCTCAAACAAAAGCTCACCACGTATGTACGAGGGAAATCATACCTGAGAAAGAACCACGTCGATTAATTCTCCCCAACTGACCTAATGAGCACACGCTCATTGGGGGAATATTGCCTAGACCTATTAGACTGAAGCTGAAGTAAGGCCAGCATGCCGATTCAGTAGTGAAAAATGCTTATTCCCACACTAACTTTCCATCAGGTCGTCTGGTTAAAACAGGAATGATTTTATCGAGAAATCCTCGCAAAAGGAAGAAACCTCTCACTCCCAGCTTTTCATATGCCAGAGGATTATTAATTAAGGAAGCATGCAAGCAAGGATTTGTGATCCCATAGTATATTATTGCAGGGATTTTTCCCTCTTTTGCACTCAAGTATTTTGAAAGTAGAGTTATTTAAAGATACTATTCTTTTAGTATTTGCAACATTAGAACTGCTACTTTTATAGTTAAACCAGCCATAACACCTCGCCATCGATACAAACAAATGTTCTCAATACTTTAATAAATATCCTAAGTTCTTAAAGAGAAGAGGTCAGTAAGACAGACAAAAATACAAAGTATGGACTAGCAGTCTTATTTCTAGGCCCATTTCCCACAAATAATTAATGGCAGTGATACAGAATAGCAAGTGCTGACAGTAGTTTTTCTGTGGCTTGTACTGTCTTGAAGGTTAATGTTT